GGGTCGTAGACCCCGGTGGTCAACCTCGTCCTCAGAGCGCTTTTCCTGGCTTCCAAAGCCGGGGAAACGAGCCCTGGAGACGAGGTTGCCCAGTGTGTGCCAACCTTTACGGGTTGTGGGATAGGGTAGGGATGGCACCTTGCATGGGACCTGAGTCCCTTTCGTGCACATTCGCTCCGGGCAGGCCTGTGTCCAGAAAAAGCTGGTAAAAAAAAATAAAAATGTTCGTTTCACACGTTTACTTGGGCATAAACGTCTTTGAAATTAACATTGAAAGGGAAGGGAAAGAAAAACTCGCAAGCTTTTCAACAATTATGACCGGAAATGTAGATTCAAGTTTATAGGAGGTCTGTTTGCAGATTAATGCTTTCATAATTATAACTTGGTAATCATTGATTACGGATGCGCGTTCGTCACTTGCGGAAAAATTACGGAAACGCAATCGAGTCGAAAGGAGTCCAGTTTTCCGGCCGAGGTGGCCCTGATAAAATTAATAGGGGTGGCTAATTTGCAGTCGCCTGTGATAGCTCGAAAATTCCTGCTTTAGTGCCACAGGAACACCAGATTAGGATACGTTCTGACGAACGCGATAATAGAAGACGTAACATTGGTTTTTTCTTAGGCAGAATACGTTTAAACTTTAATGGACAAGAACAACTATCCTTGCAAGGAAAAAATTCTGGTAGAAACCTAGCGTAATTAAAGCCAGCCAGCTATTCATGGTTTTAAGCACAGGTATGACAAACAATTAATGGCTGACAAATTAGCAATGAGCCATTGAAAACCACTCACTTGAGGTGTTATTAGTTGGTGCCGCGAACCTTAAAATATATTAAAAAACGAATAGCCTTTATGAACACCTCGCGTATACGCTTCATCAGCCTCTAATGAATACAACGAACGAGTAAAAGTAAAAGTGGAACGTATCGGGAGCTCCCTTCGAAGCTCAATGAAGGGCAGTGCCGGGGAGGGGGAGGGGGAGGGGGAGGGCTGGCCTTAGATTGGTGTCTGCATTATCAGTTATCACCATTTATGCCAAAAAGAGTCTAATGTTGAACCTATGCGCAATTCAAATCCAGTTTCTCAATGCATGATCAAAAGATTCATTACAAGTAAACGTTTAGACATGGGCTATACGAAACATATGTTTCGAGTAAATAGGGATCAGTAAAGGTTAAATTTTTTTTATTGCGTACATTGAAGTACTCTTTTGGCGTTTCTGGTTAATTCTGCCCTTATATTTCTTGTTGAAAAGCCTGGAAACTCGACTTCTCAATCCAAAAAAAGCGTGTTTCCAGGCTTTCCACAAGAAATATACGAGCAAAATTGACCATACACAACAGAAGAGTACTTCAATGTAAGTAATTAAATTTTATTTAACAAAAATTTAACCCTTATTTACTTGAATCCCATGTGTCCTATAGGCCATAGGCTAAAATCTAAATTTGCTTTCCAAATCTTAATTTATTACTGTTATATCGATATCACGGGCCTTTATTTCCATTTTTAGGTATTTTGCACTAATAGCACTCTTCCCAACTGTCCGTTGTTCGTCTTACAGAGAGATGTCTTACAATAAACTGACTGAAAAACTGTCGGAACTAGCACCAGGTGCCCTTGTGCCTTGATTCCTTGCGCCTTTTATGTGCATTTTCCTTTTAAGCACTTGCCTAGTGCTTGGGCCTCATTATTGCGCGCGGCCTATGCATTAAAGGGTCAGGTGGTCGAGTGAGTAGCCGTTCGTCTTGGACACGTCATCGAAATGCATTGACCGGGAAGGCCTATGAAGACGCCGTACAGGGACTAGGCAAATAGCACTCAAAATTACCACTGACAATTCTTTCTGAACAAAAAAAAGAAAGTTAAACAAGCCTTTGGCTACTAAGCCGCTACTTGAATGTGTAAAGAATTAACTGGTATCCAGGGCGAGAATTGACGACAAATGAAAAGAAAATGCTTAAACTATGCGAAAAAACATCCCTCATCGAAAATGTTCAGTGCATCTAGAAAACGGTTTCTGAATATTGACCTTAGAAAGTGTGAAGGAGAAGTGTCTTTTTAAAATATATTTTGAAATCGTTGAGATCAGCAATTGTACTCAATCTCTCGTTTTTTTCTGGTCTAATACAACGCAACGCGCTGGGATTGAGCACAAGCAGTAAAAATACGGTCACTATACATGTGACGTGATGTGAACAACCGAAGGCTATGCTTCACATCAATAGCCTGAAAAACTCGATGGAAACAAAACACTCGTCAGATTTTAAAACAGTCATAGCTTTAACGATTGCTGTTGTTTCTTGCTACCAAGCCACAGGCCGTTGTGCACAAGCGATCCGAAACTGATCTGTTTGATAACTCAGCAAAACAACAATTAAAATATGGCATTAAATTAATGGCACGAAAAAGGTTTTGAAACTATTCTGACCCACAGCTCTGATACATGAGTCAGCAACAATTAAAAATCATAGCACTCACGTCGTAGTACAAGAGTAATCTGTACCTGTATAAGAACCGACTTCTAGTGTTCATAGGAACGGAATTTCAGATTTGACCCTCCTCGATTGATGGAATAAACAAATGAAAGTATTAGTCTACAAGTACAAATGTTAAGCTCAATAAAGGATCTTAGAAGGTTTCATGTTGTAATCAAACGTGCTCGATTTACTCAATAAATAATCTATGCCGCTTCCCACTACAGTAGTGCATATATATTTGTTTAGAAACGCCTACTGCGTTTTGGCCTTTCGTCCTCACTAAGGGTTGATTTCCAGTGTCGCGTAATTTTTACGTGCGTACGTGCGTAAAATTTACGTTCGCAAATAAAATAGAGGCAACGCATGAAAGGTCGCTGGTAAGCGTAAAAGTTGAACCTCTCTCAGATTCTCGTTTAAGCTCAGCCCTTTTTATCTTGCCTCTTGCAACTATTTTATTTACGTGATTAAAATTTACGTGCGTTAACGCGCGTAGCAAAAAACGCGTCAGTGGTATAAAAACGCCGGTGTTTTCTAAATAAAGGACCTCAAAAAGATGGAGACGTTTCAAAATAGAGGTCAACGGTTAAGCATAAAGGGCAAAAAACGGAGGTTTGGGAATACACTGACTTCACAGCCACTCATGGCACACCCAGGAGCGAAAATGTGTCTCCAGATAAGTGTTTTGCCTTGTTTAGTATTGACTGTCAAAAAGAGAAGCTTAAACGCCAGTAGTTCGTTGCGTTCTCGTGATCGCGAAAACGGAGGTTTTTGGATAACACATTAGCGTGGACATGGACTGAAAAAGTTATGCTACGTCATCAGCTTCATAAAAACTCTAAATATTTAACGCTGTTAGTTAGGGCTTTTAAAAATAAAAAAAAAACTTGTTTTCGGATACCCTCCATCCTTACAAGTTTGGAATGACTATCTTAGGTTATCTCATGCACTCCAATAAAACGTTATAAACTACAAACTTCAATCTAAAGTCAAAAATTAACCTTCCAAAGTTCAAAACGGTGAATTCAGTATATACAAGTTTTAGGATTCTCCTTTGCTTTTAATAGAAACGCATATTCATTTTATGCTGCTTCGTTCAATTAGTCTTAAGTTGTTGGGGTTACACTAAACCTTTTTTCTTTAGATAAAAAAGGCTTTTACGGTCTCATTTTCTACTGTTATAAATATTAAAATATTCCATTTACACTATGACGTCATTTTAGTACTTCGACCAGAATTCTATTTTGTTTTTCCTTTCATAGTTAATTTTGGTAATCCCAGAGAAGTTTAAACAACAAAAACCCTAATTTGCTTAACAAGGCAAAACCCTGAAGGATTCTGGTCGTTAAGTATTAAAATGACGTCATTGTCAAAATGGCCTAATGAAAGTAAAATTCCATCTGGTAAAAAAAATATGTGTTTTTGTTATCCCACAGTCTCCAAAGGGAAGCCTTTTTTGTAGTCATAAACACGGACACTCTTTTAACAGTTTTCTGACATCACATATCAGCTCGTCCCCTGTAACTGAAGAAAATAACATATACTGCATTAATACACTTCAGAAAAATAACGCCTTCAATAATAGCACGATGTCAAGGGCGAGATGAATTTGAAACACTGATAAGATGACAACATTTGAATACTTTTAGATTTAACTGCAAAAATTTTCGTTGTTTTTAATTCGGTCATTCAACCGATAAATCATATTATTTTCCATTCACGAGAAAAGAAGAGCCTTGTGCAGAGTAAAATCAAACTTTGATTGGAGCCCATAGCAAAACCTTTAGTGTCCATACAGCTGTCCGAAGATGTAGAAACACTCTCCTTCATTACTGAAAACAGCTGACCTCCAAATCTCTATCAACCAAAACACGAAGACAAATTTTTTGATTATTATCTTTTATGTACATAGACCCTAAATAGGTTGATAATTAAAACAGTATTAGCCATTTTCAGGGCCCCCGAAAATCCGACTTTTTTAGCTTGTTCTTAGTAAGCTTTCATAAACTACCAAAAATAAGCTCTGGGTTTATACATCTTTGCAAGGGGTTTTAAACGGAGGTGCTCATATCAGAGGAGATTATAACCGGAAAAGAAAGCTATACCAGTGCTGATCAAAATACGTTCTGTATTTATTGGTTTTTAATTAAGCTACAAAACCTCTTAATAAATTGATTAAAAACACTAAACATATAATAACATAGGCCCGCAATGCATGCAAAGTGGGTGGGTCAGATTTGTAAAGGACAATGAAATGTGTCTTCAAAATTCGATTGAGTTGTTAACAGTTTGGTACGAATAGAATCTTACTGAGTGAATCTACAGCAATCAAACAGTAGCCATCCACCGCATCCTTATGTTTTTAAGATCTGCACTTCTTTTTCTAGTTATAATCGAATCTGCCAATCACGATAAAATTTTTAAAAGACCCTTCATAATTTTTATTTTTTACAACATATTTTTTGGACTCGAGACAACGCATAAAGAAAAGAAAAACTTCTTTTACTTACGACTTCCGCTGTTACTTTAGTCAAATTCAATCGTCACGTCATCGCCAATCAGCACAAATGAAGCCCAGTACTTTGGGGCAGAAAAATTGTCGGAGTCCCGGAGATATTTCATGGCCCTCTGAAGAGCAGTACTAGTACTTTCTCCCCCTCTCAGGTGTTGGTAAAAACTTTTCATAAACTCCATGGTTGCTTCGTCATCAATTGCCCAGAGTGATGCCACCACGGAACGAGCACCAGCAAACAGGAACGCCCGTGCAATACCGACCACACCCTCAGACGAGACTTCTCCTTGACCACTATGACAACAACTAAGGACTACCAGTCTGGCTCTAAGTTTAACAGCTTGTACATCAGAAATTTTCAAAAGATACTCCTCTTCCTCAGAATTCGTGGATTCCCAGCGGGGGTCTGGAGCCAAAGCAATTGCACCAGTTTCTTTACTTCCGTGTGCTGCAATGTGAACCAAAGCAACTGAACCTATTCTTCGAAGAACCTCTTGTTTGGTCGCTGCTTCTCCCGTGAGTGGCTCGCACTTAAGAATTTCTCCAATCATCTCCACTTCCTTTTTTGCGTACGTCAGCTCATCATAAATAGGGTTTCCCCATTTATTGGTAACTTTCTTCAGACATGGATCTCCAACGAGCAGGGCACCACTTTTACAGTGGTATTCATCAGGAGAATCTATGATGAATTTCAAACTTGTCAGTGAGGGGACTGTGCGGATCCTTAAAGATTCACTTAGCGCTGCCCAAGGAGCTAAGGACAAAGCGCCATCAGGGACTACAATGAGTTCATCACCATCAAGCAAGTCTTCAATGGGACCAATGACTGCATCATACAGTGGCTTAAAACAGTCGATAGTCTTGTGCGACGGCTCATCCTTTTCAGTTCTGGAAGTGTGGTTATCCCTTCGTTTATCCAATGACCGATTCTCGCACCTAACATCGATGCCAGCCCTAATGTTTTTTAAAGTAGTTTCTAAAAGTAGAGCAAAATAATCTTGGTGCGCATCTTCAACTTTTAGCTCGGTTTGCCTAAAGATAGCTTTTCTTTCCTTTCTCAGGACCCACATATTGATTATTTTTTCTTGAACTGCCAGAAAAACTGTCAAAACAGGTATCTTCTTTAAAATGATTGTGAGTTCTTCTTCAGATTCATTTGACTTGAGCGAAAGTGATTTTAAGCCATAATTTATTTTCAACGCATCTACTAAGGCCTGTGCTCGTCCCTTCTCGGCAGCGTATAAAGCCTCATCAGTCAATTGAAGCATTATTAGGACTCGCCATAAACAAGTGTAGGCACCTTTACTAAGATCACGAAAACTTATTTTCAATGAATCTTCCGAAATGCAACTGGCCCTGACAGCATCAAGGATTTCTACGCTGGTGATGAAATGAAATAAAGCTTCATTCCAACAACCTAACTTTTCAAGAGAAATACCAAGTCTGTAATATGCGTCTCCTTCATGGAACTTGTCACCGACTTCCTCGGTAATGCACAGGTATTGCCTGAAGTACTCTATTGCTTGTTGAAACTCGTTGAGGGACGAATAAGCATTGCCGAGATAGCAATAGGCACGTCCTTCTACGACCCTCTTCCCGGCACCCTTGGCAATGCTTAGGGTATAGTTTAGATACTCTATTGCTTGTTCGAAGTCGCCGAGGGAGTGATAAACCATTCCGAGACTGCCATAGGCACATCCTGCTGCGATTCTGTCGCCGACCTCCTTGGCAATACTCAGTTGTTGCCTGAAATACTTCATTGCTTGCTCGAAGTTGTCGAGGAAGTGGTAAGCATGGCCGAGATTGCCATAGGCACGTCCTTCTCCAACCCTGTCGCCGACTTCCTTGGCAATGCTCAGGTGTTGGTTGTGGTAATTTATTGCTTCTTGGAATTTGCCGAGGAGATGATAAACATTGCCGAGATTGCCATAGGCACGTCCTTCTCCGGCCCTGTCGCCGACTTCCTGGGAAATGCTAAGGTCTTGGTTGTGGTAATTTATTGCTTCTTGGAATTTGCCGAGGGAGCGATAAGCATTGCCGAGGTTGCCATAGGCACGTCCTTCTCCAACCCTGTCGCCGACTTCCTTGGCAATGCTCAGGCTTTGGTTGTGGTAATTTATTGCTTTTTGGAAGTCGCTTACGGAGAAATTATCCTTGCCGAGTTTTTTATAGGTATCTTCTTCCTCTTTCCTGTTGCTATTTGTTTTGGCTTTTGTAAGATGCTTTTCGAGGCCATCTATATTTTTTGATTTTCGCTCTGTCATTTTTTATACTTTAAAGTTCTAATAAAGCAAGTTTTATCGCTTCTTGAAGGTGCGGATGCTTGGTCGGTGTATGAAGAAAAGTGTTTTATCGTTGCATCATTTTTTCTTGACTTCTGTTTCCTCCTTTCCCATAGAAAATTCTTTAGAGCTACATAGGGGTAGACAATAAGCAGCACAAGTCTTAGAAATACATTTACGAAAAGAAGAAGAAGAAGACTTGTTATACACTAACCTTTATCATCCCATTAAGAGTATAGCAATCTGAGTAGCTAGAGTATTTAAAAATACATACCTCTTACTAACCGAATCCGAGGTCCGTAATGTAAGTTACGGACCGAGTTTTTTCGTGTTGATTTATGGCCCAAGCGCGAAGCGCGCGGGCCATAAATCAACCAGGAAAAACGAGGATCCGTAACTTCCAGTACGGACCGAGAAAAACGAGGTTTTAAGAGATTTATTATATCTAGGAGTTTATTTGGGCGCGCGGGACGGAGACTTTAGAATTTAGCCGGCCGTACAGTAGAATACGGCCGGCAAAATTGAACAAAAACAAAAACAGTGCGCGTACTAAGAGGTCTAACAATAACAGCGTATACCAGAGAGGGTATCTATTCTGCAAACGTATCCCAGATAATTGTTACTGACAACAGAAACAGTGAAAGAGTGAAGACATAACATTTCAGTTTAGACAAATAATCCATTTAGGTTTGTTTGTCGCAAATAATACCTCTAACCTTTTATGAGAGACCTCTTCAAAACGACTACCAGTTAGGTGCAGTTCTAATAACTAGCAAAAATGAAATAATATATAATTTTCAAAACGTCCCCTCATCTTAAATACACTGGGCTGCAGTCAACACAAATAGTCCTTAAAACCAGACAAATATTCTTGCCAAGGAATTCAATAAAAATGATTATTTTTACAAGGCACAAAAGTAAGATCAAAACGTATATTTTGGTAACTCCTTCCGTTGCCTCGATGCCCGGGGGGGAGTACTCAATCAATGTTTATACGGGGAGGCTCCGCCCCGAGGTCCAACCATTACCCTTTTTTATTATTCATTAGAAATATTTCTCCATTTCTGATTGGCTAAAAGCACACCCATAATTCACCATAAGCAGCTACTGTTGACCAAATTTGGAAGAATTTTGCGATTAATCAACCGATCACGTCAAAAGTGCAGCACAGTTTCAGGTTAATTCACTGTTAACCGAGAAGACCTGGGGACAAGGTTGAGTTGTTTTGGTTGTGAAAACAAAGATGGCGGACATTTCACTCGTTTAAAGAGTAAGAGCTAGGCGAAATAATAGCTAAAAACATGGCAAGAACAGCAAGAAGACAACTCGAAGGGCGACATCTACTATTTGGAGGATATTTGCGGAGCTGAACAACCCTAAACGTGCACTATCGAAGATGAACTTAACATCGATAGAGGTAATAAGCATGTTTTATTTTGAATGAATAATAAAACAGTTACTGAATTTGGCTTTCGTATCATATGAAGAATTATGAAGATCTCGGAGGGTGTTGTCCGCCGAGGCCGCATACCCTCCTCGATCTCCATAATTCTTCACAGCCTCATTCATTAATTGCTAAATATACCAATGATTCACGAAAAATGTACCCCTGTCATGTGTATTAAGGCTTGACTCAACCACGAATTCACTGGGGTTTGATTTCAAGGAGAAATATTCCTCTCATCTTTGTGAAATTTGACAAGCAGGTTCCTTTTCACGTTTACATCCATTTGATAAGCTTTTCTATTGTAACTCTAAGTCACGAGACTCACATTTGCCTTGTAACGGTCAAAATGTTTCACTGATAATGGGGAATACTTCAGTCGCCTTATTTTGTCGTTTTTCTATGGCTCCTAGTAAGGGCTTTAGAATGCTGCTTTTTAATCATGTCCATGTATTAGAGTGAATTCGTGTAACTCGTTTGTTATAAGCTAATGAAAATAGGTAAATGCTAATGAGAAGAAAAATGGAGAAGGCATACAACAAACTGAACACTGCTACAAATATTTTTAATTGAAAGAGAATTGGAATCATGTCGGTTGATGATTTTAAACAGGACGCCGAAGTTTCAGCTATGTTTCTCCCGAACAAATGTGCAAATACCGGGAAAAGCACATCTCAACTGCTGGATTTTTCCTCACCATAAAAACCAAAAGTTGTCAAACAACTGATGCCGCAATTTTGCTGTCTGGCTGTGGTAACTGAAAAAATCACAAAAATTAGCAAAAAGGCAAGTTTAATTGAAAGCACTGCTTTTGCTTCTTACAGAATATTCTTGATTGAGATAACTACCATTTGTTTTGGAAAAAAGCAATACATTCCAGTGTGAATTGCCCGTGAGTACAAAAGCTGGTCATTAAACAATATAGTACGCCTCATTAGCATATAAGAAATGGGTTATACGAATTTACTCAGTATTATGGGAAACTGTCAATGAAGTAAAACAGGTCACCTGACTTATCAAATATACTGATAACTGAAAAGGCATAGAATCAATTCCGCGTTAAAAGGCGGAATCGTATTGAGAACGGTCTTAAGGCCATTTTGAGATCGAAAAGTTTTGAATTTTTAATGTGCAAATGTACCCCATTCGAAGAAACACGTTTTGTCATGTCACCAGGAGCAGGAAATCCCGTGACAGTATATAACACTGTAATTTAATCAAACACGTCAAATGTTGATTCTTCCCAGTTTCACGACTGAAATTAACGTATTCTTACGAGCTGCATGCGTGACGTCTTAAAACTCTGCTGGGGGTCCTTTACATTAAAAAATCCAAGCCTTAACACACTTGAGCATCTGTTATATCTTCTACTGACAAATGGTACCCCTTTCACATATATTGTTTAGATCTTTGCATCCCTTTTAACTGCTGTAAATGCACTGTGTTTTAAATAGGAATCAATCACAAAAATAGAACGTTTTCTCTGCGTTATAACGCCTTAAAATATAATTCATCTGTGAGCCATTTTGGGCCCTTTCCCAAACCCAAATGACAGATTTCCCTACCCTTTTATATACTTCAACTAGTGAAACCCGTATGCCCTTTCATACTGACCTGAAGCCTGAAAAAGACACCCCTTTCGGGCGGAGCCTCCCCGTACAGGTCATTATAGGGAGTACCCCACCCCGCCGTCCCCCCGGGCTTCTATGAGGTCTAGATATGATGCACTGGTACTGCGCATGGCTTAAGGTATCTTTATTACAAATTTGATACTTAACTTAAAGAGCTTGAACGTCTCGAACCATGCACAAAATGAATCACCTAAGATAACTCAGCTCTCACTAAAAAGAGGTACATTTATTTCTTAGTCCAAATGACTATAAACAATTATCGGAGGCTTCATATCTCCATTTTCAAGGCAGGCTATTCGGAAAATCATAGTTAAAACAGAAAACAAAATGTCAAAGCTTATTACATCCATACTCTACCAGCTCATAAACTTTTCAGTATTGTGAACAACGTGCTGAATACATGTGCATGTAGAAGCTTAATATAAATAAAACTGATCATTGCTGGAAGTGGTATTAAGCTAAAATAGATTTAAAAAAAGACGCTTGGCGAAGAGGAGCTAAGAGGCTTCGTGACTTGATCTTAAATATAAGAATCTACATGGTGCTAAGACACGCCCTCACTGGAAGGAGAAATGCGATGTTACTTACATATTTAATCAGTCATGTTCAGCATAAAACCCATTCTTTCAGAAATAAATTTTAATTATTAAAAACTTACCATCCAGTTCTGGATGAGATTCATAGTTTTCCTATATCTCTTCCTAAAAGAGGGACAATTTTATGTGTATTAAAAAAATGTCTTAAAATTAATAAACAACGAAGTCACTTACACAAAACATTAACAATTCTAATTCTTATATGTACTGTGTAACTGGCATTTTACAAGAAAAGGTGATGCAAGGAAACTTTCAAAGCTTAACATGCAAACTCTGATAAAGATCCAACAATCATCTTGCCAGAGGTATGACGGCGAAAACGCTTTCAGAATTATAACGACATCATTTATTGATATAAGAAGTGAAAAGGCAACAAAAGTGACGCGCAGAGTATGTAAAATGGCAAGCTCTGTCCTCTCCTTTCCCTAATGTGTAGGCATTAGACCGTCACATTCGCCTTACATGAACTAAAACACAATTCGAGTCGGACGCTTACTCTTTAGTAACAAAACATCGAACATATACTTTGACTCCCGGGGGGAAACCCCTAGTCCTTGGTGGGGGTGTGCGGCCCGGTTCTTCAAATCCTGACCCTATTTCAGACCAAAAATGTCATTTTTCACACCCGTTGTCAGACCTGGACTCTAAAATCCATATCCATTCTCAGACCTGGCCTTGAATTAGGTAATCTGATTGCTTAGAATAGAACAGCAACAAAAAAGAATTTCGAATTCGCATGGCTCTTTCTTTCGTACTCATTTGGAATTGAAACAAGAAATACGTTCGTACACTCCCGTACTTCCCTTAAAAACCATGCCCGATTCCAGACCAAAATGATCAACGTCCATACCCGTTTTCAGACCAAAACTGCGCAAAAACCCTACCCTTTGGGGCGGCAAATACTGACCTATATGGCTGATATAGGGGAGTATCCCCCGTGGATTGACTGTCGCCAACTGGTCTTAATCACAAGTTAACTTTAAGCTGCACGAGAAAATAATAATAAAAAAAAGACAGCACTGACATATGTGCATACCTGCTTAAATTCCGAGATAATTGAGCCTTTTTCTTGCCTGAATTGTCAAGAGATGCTTAACCGAGTTAAGTTGCCTCCGGTAAATAGATTGACAGAGATACGACTGTCAAATATATATCGTGGTAGATAAGGAAAATGCAGACCACAAAACCCAAAAATGAAAACCAAACCCCAAAACAGAAACACAGATTTCAAAACGGAAGCACAAGATAAAAACCAGAATCACAAATTTAAATATAAAACAGAATCAGGACAGCATCATAAAATGTCAAAAACTGAAAGTTCCCTTGATGCTCGTAATACAAAACAAACACTCGATACCCGGAAATAGAAATCCAAAACCCTAAGAAGAAGCATACAAGCAAAATCGAAAACCCAAAACCCGAAACAGAAAGACAACTCTTCTAAAAGGAAAAACAAAACCCATAACCAGGAACACAGAATCGGCTCCTGACCCAGAAACAGAAACTGATGTAAAACAGTAGTTTCTCATGATGCATCTCATCTAAGCACGTGACATCATAGTCAACACGCTGTGAATCAACCTCGTTTCCAAGGTATCTCTTGTCCCCATCCTCTCTTGCTTCAAGGGAAGTGCAGCATTGTCGTTCCCAGGGTAAACAGAAAATACTGGCAAAGCACATATTTCTCTGGCTCAGCAACTTATTGAACAACTAGAACAATGTATCAGGGATTTTAGAGAAGCACAGCGTTTTTCTGGCGTGGTGATGGGGGGGAATGTCGTTTTTTGCACGACGACCAGGCCTTACACCCTGGTCTAGACAGTTTCGGTTGTATCCATGTCCTCTGCGTTTAATATTTCATCTGATATAAGCGAATCATATCGTGCAATGTGTCGTGAACACGCGGTGTATGTAAGACTGGAAAAGAATGTCCATTGTAGTTTTGTTTTCAAGGAGATTGTCAATTTGAGGGCAGTGGGGACGGTAGTTCTAGTTTTCTTGCAAAACTCATTTTACATTACAAGGAAAAAATCACTATAGTTTTCACACAATATTGTTCAGTGACTACTCAGTAATACTGTTTATGAAATAAAATGAATAACTAAGGGTTGCCTCTCCAGTTGTTAGTACACGCCCCCACCTCCTCCGTCTCCAGTAATTCCCCAACTCCCCTCCTCCAACAATGGCTGGACAAATTAAACGTTCCCTACCCTCCCCAAGGCTTATAAGAAAGATTACGGTGTATTAGCCGAGTTTCCAGTCGTGGGGAGAGTAAACCATACCAAAGAAGTTTTTTAATAAGAAATTCTGCGAAGTTTCGCTTATTTTTGTTCAAACCAAAGGGGAGCCATCTGCTATTGGGACTCTACACTAACGTCAGTGCTTCTTTAATAAGAAACACCTTAAAAAGCCACAATCTGAGAGTGCTATTTCTAGCCCAGCTTATTTCGTTTAAAAATGAAATTTTACTGAACTACTTTGAAAATGAAAAGAATGAGAAAATAAGAAATTTGCACGATGGCGTCACTGCACTACTACGACCAAAATACTTTTCGTCTTCCTTTCATATTTAAATTTGGTAATCCCAGCGTGGTTTAAAAAACAAAAGCTCTAATTTGCACAAGAAAGCAAAACCCTGAAGTATTCTCATTGTGCAAATGGCCTATTAACTTTACTGGAGCGCAAGAAAAGGTGTCGGTTCTTTCTGATAACGGGTTCCTGTGCCATCGCCTCTATATCCCTGTTCAGACAATCAATCAGAATGCAATCACTGAATATTAAAAAAAATCATTTTATTATAAAACCAACAAACAACTAACAAATGAGCGCGTGAAAACCAGCCCCTCCTCGTTCCAAATGACAAACGTGAAAAATGGCGGGAAAATTTGACCACGACGTCCATCTCTGTCGTTTGTGTAAACGTAGTGCTTCATAGCCAAGCCTCGAATTAGTGCAATTTTTTTTCACGGGGACGCGGGAACTGTGTATTCAAGTGGTTGAGCCTCTGTATGGGTGTTCCGGAAGAAATCGAAGTGCCAACGATCGCAAATGTGTTGCACTTTCAGAGTTTTTGTTTTGCTTATTTTCTCGTTTTCGTCGTCATTGTGGTTACGCTGAGCTCGCTAGTAGCGTTACCACACAAAACATTTTTTTGATATGCGACTATTTCGCCTGAAAAACCGACGACTTGATGGAAAACGCGCGAGGAAATCGACATCTGCAGGTACCCATATAACGGCTCAGTGGTTCAGTCGTCGCAAGCAATTTAGAACTCCATGCAAGACGATAATAAAAAAGGAAAACCATGATTTGAGCTATCACGAGGGTAGTTGTTGTTGCGGGTTGTGCGGTCAATTGGAATTGCTCTCATTGCCAATCAACTCCACAGTCTGATGAAAACCAGAAACGTAACAACCACAAGGGGACAAACTATAACTATTCTCAAGATCGTGAGAAAAGCTAGAAAAATAAGTCATCACATTCAAGCCACGATGAACCACTTCTTTCTCTATATGGAATGCTTCGCAGCTAAGTTATCAGAGTTGAAGAAAAACCCTATTCTACCCCGTGGCTTTGCTAAAAAATTATTGAGCAGTCGATTCATTATTCACAAAACCTTCTCGAGCTTAAAAACCCAAGCCCACTTTGATGGCAACTTGTTCACAGGGATACCAGGCAAGGTAATTATCATACCACCTTTGCTGGTATCCGGCTTCCAAACAAACTTTCCTTCATAACCTAACATGGTGACTTGAGTGTTGTCAGTGGCCTTTGGAGATCCTAGAGTAAGCTCTTCTGTTTCGGGCCACTCGAGAAGAATGGCGTACACAACACCAGCTTTGGAAGTATACCTGGAGAGACAGAGAGATTAGATGAACCGAACTGGCTGAGAGAGAAGTAGCTTGCGTATCACGCGTTTCCAATCGAGTTATTGTGTCGAAGTTAAAGCGAGAGCAAAAGAAATACACGCAGAAACGCTTGCTACGCACACTAAGAGAGAAGTCAACTTTCCCTTTGACAGATACTTTTGGGAGTGGTGTTATGGCTGATTTTGTTCCCCCTCCCCACCCCTCTTAACGCACTTGTATCTGTGATTCAAGTCCACAATCAGATAAGAAACCTCCCTCTAGAATATGGTCCCCCTATTAAAACAAGTTTTTCTCTATCTTTTTTGCAATTCTTTTCTGAATGGAGCAGTTTAATAGCACCGAAAATAAAAGTATATCAGCTAACAAGTATTTCAACCTTAAAACGCTAAATTTCAGATTCAAACACAACTAAATATATTTCAGTTGAATAGAATTTACAAAAAATAACAAATACTTCTTTTTATTGAGTAAGCTCAGGCCGAATGGGAAATATTTGGCGGGAGGTCTTGGCGACATGACCTCACTGCAAATATATTTCTGTCTGTCCTTCCCACTCAGTCAATACATGTGAGTACAAAATATTGACTACATCACCCTCTTTCTTTCTGTCAAACTCAGAACACTGTGGCCGGGAACCGTGAACACCTGAAAAATTCCAAGAATGTTGATTGTGTAGTGACCAATCACAATAAATTTCGGGACATGCCAGGAAACCACACTGAAAACCACAAACTAATTGATGATGTTGCTGTTTGCTGTTCAGTTTCCTAACGACTTATTGGCTTTCTCCTTGTAACACAATAACAATCCATCTAAATATTTCTTGTGTTCACGGTTTTGTGAGTTTCACAGTAAGTTTCAGAGCAGTAAACCAAATGCTTAGTTCAGTAACCTACCAGACATTTTTGTTTATGGTGTCATTCTGAGCTCTCCAAGGTTTGCTGCTGTAAATAGCCTCACCATTTACAGAAAGCCATTCTCCCATCTGCAGAAGTCGCTCCTCAAACGCTGGTATGATACGACCATCTGCTGTTGGGCCAACATTCAATAACATGTTTCCACCACAGCTAAGGGAAAATAAAAGAAAAAATTGGGAAAGCAAATAACTTAAAGGAGCCGTCCCACGATATTTATTAAATGCAAACAGAATTAACCGCCACTAAATTGAGTGAAACACAAAAATTCTCTCACATCTTTAGGAAAAAGTATAGATAACAAGGCTAATACAAAAGAAGGTTGGAGAAGATTGAAAAGGCGGATTGGATTGTGAGTTTTGAAAACTTGTTCACCCAACAGCTTTTCAAAGCACATTTTCGCTGTTTGTAACGGTTGATATAGATGGCATATTATTTTGTTGTACAAGATGTGATTTCACCATTTACAAGTAATGTCTTTGCGAGCATTCAGTTCCATAGTATACTGACAGGACTTATACTTAGCAATGAAAATGGGCTGGAGAGCCGTGACCCAGTCCCTTGAAGTTACATATACCAACTGCCGTGCATCTCCTAGTGCAGGTGGGTGCCTGGGAATGTCTGACATGTATGGCTGCTTCTACTTTTGACGCAGCCAAACCCTAGATAAAGCTATGTCTCCACGAATGGTTAATTGACACCTCCCAGCCACTGGCCCCCATACCGAAAAACCACGCACTCGCTATGTTTTACTAGTCAATGGAAAAACAAAGGGGAAGAGTTGACGATACAGTCAACTCTTTGGGAACAACACTAAGTGTTCCTGTTTCAGAGATGTCTGTCTTTTGGAGAGTCAAATAAAGGCAGGGACCAACTCTAAGTGTCCATTTTACAGTGTCCGTTGTACACGCAGCAAAAGGTACCCCTGTGTTAACTGTACACGCAAAAGGTATCCCTGTGGCCATCATAAAATGCAGTACCAAGCACATGGAGCAAGGAAGGATGACAATTCCCAGTCGCTCTCATTTTTGGTTGAACTGTTTGATTCGCAAACTACGTTTTCATTATTTTTTTTCCAGCTAACTGGTGACCAGACACGTTTCTTAAACTGGCTTTTTTGGCAAAATCTTCTTGAGCAAATAGGTTTATTTACAATAGCAATTAATTATTACAGTGAGGTAAACACGGCACGTAGTATGGATCATTTTCATGGAGCTGTGGGAACATCTCTTTAAAAAACGTGTTCAAACGTGTTATGGCCTAATTATCAAAACCTCACCTGACAGTAGAAGCCAGTTGGTACAAGAGTTGATTGATGTCTAAGTAGGAGTTAATGTCGACATTGCGTCTGTAACCCCAGGAACCTTTATCCACTGTCAGAGCGTTCTCCCATTTGTGATTCTGAAGTTTACCTTTTAAAGGAAATTGGTTCAGTGTTTAGCTGCAGGGTTGTCATGGAGACTCTAATATAATGTTCCATGGAAGATCTTGACAGGATAATTAGGCAAGCTCAAATAAAAGAGAACAAATTGATGTGCAACACTAACAAAAACTAACAACACTAACAAAAACATAGTATAAAAAAATTATAGTTTAACACTCAGACACCGCTCTATGGACATGCGCTTAATACGGACACCTCATTATTATGGACAGTTTGCTTTGTCCAAGTTGAAAGAAAGCCCTCACATTTTCTTTTAATTCAACCTGCTTAATGTGGACAGCCTGTTAATAAGGGCACTGACTTTCTATGGCCCCCCTTAGTGTCCATTTTAATGGGATCTGACTGTACATGTACTTGACTACTGAACAAGTAACTAAGTTACATAATTGTTAAAAATGCATTTACTTCAAGAAACCAACAATTGTGAGTGTTTACCTGGGTTATAGCGATCATGACATGTGTATACACCCCCATGATGACAAGCACATCCATTGCTACACCATCGGTCATTTGTTACAATGGTGTCCTTAACAGGGCTGCAATTTTCACCATAAGAAGTTTCAGAAATCAACTATGACAAACACTATGACAAACACTTTCAAACTTTTCCTCCAGACCCTCCAGAATGCGAAGTAATGACTGGCTACTCTCAGCTAGACATGCAAGTTTCATATGCAACACTAGACTGTGGTTGCTGCGCTGAACTATGGGTAGCTGCCCTCACCTATCATTGTATAGCCATGCCAGGAATTCTCTACTCATCCAGTATGTGTCAGGTCCATGAGAACCATCAGACCACAGGTACTCAGGTTTGTAAGTGCTGATCAGATCATACAGCTCTGGCAGACAAACTTGCTGTCAAGTAAGAATAAACAAAGTGACAACAGTAAGGCTGTGCTCTAGCAGCACCTTGTGACCCATGTGATGCTTAACTTTTGCTCCTGGGCAACTATTAGAAAATCTAAATTTTCTCATACAAATCATATGCTGGGCACCCTGGATTTCACAGGGTCAAAGTACAGGGCTCCCTTCAATTTTTTTTAGTGCACAGTCTTGAAGTGACTTAAAAATGTTAAAAAATATATTCTTATTCTCTGCGAGGCTGAGACAGTTAAAAGAGAAACCAAATTCAAGTTTCTCTCAACAATTCATTGTGTATCAACAGAAAATCAACAGAATAGGTCATGGAAATTAAGAAAATGATCGCTAAAGGAAAAATGCCTTAATCTTTTATCAAATTAATTCTTTCAACTAACTCTGTAAGGAAATGTATGAAGATCAGTCCAGAGAATTTTTACTTGAATAAATTAACGGGGCTGTCAATGTGGAACAGTAAAGTGGAACAGTAATGGTGGAACATTCAACGTGGAAAAGTGAAGTGGAACAGTAACGGTGGAACAGTCAAGGTGGAACAGTGAAGTGCAACAGTCAAGGTGGAACAGTCAAGTTGGAACAAGGAAATGGAAGAGTCACGGTGGAACACTCGGGGTGCAACAGTGAAGTGGAACAGTAACGGTGGAACAGTCCAGGTGGAACAGTAAAGTGGAACAGTAATGACGGAACAGTCAAGGTGGAACAGTAAAGTGGAACAGTAAAGGTGGAACAGTGAAGTAGAACAGTAATGGTGGAACAGTCAAGGTGGAACAGTAAACTGGAACAGTAAAGGTGGAACAGCCAAGGTCGAACAGTAAAGTGGAACAGTAATGATGGAACAGTCAAGGTGGAACAGTGAAGTAGAACAGTAATGGTGGAACAGTCAAGGTGGAACAGTAAAGTGGAACAGTAATGGTGGAACAGTCAAGGTGGAACAGTAAAGTGGAACAGTAATGGTGGAACAGTGAAGTGGAACAGTAATGGTGGAACAGTCAAGGTGAAACAGTAAAGTGGAAAAGTAATGGTGGAACAGTCAAGGTGGAACAGTGAAGTGGAACAGTAATGGTGGAACAGTCAAGGTGGAACAGTAAAGTGGAACAGTAATGGTGGAACAGTCAACATGGAAAAGTAAAGTGGAACAGTAACGGTGGAACAGTCAAGGTGGAACAGTAAAGTGGAACAGTAACGGTGGAACAGTCAAGGTGGAACAGTAAAGTGGAACAGTAATGGTGGAACAGTCAAGGTGGAACAGTAAAGTGGAACAGTAATGGTGGAACAGTCAACGTGGAAAAGTGAAGTGGAACAGTAACGGTGGAACAGTCAAGGTGGAACAGTGAAGTGGAACAGTAACGGTGGAACAGTCAAGGTGGAACAGTAAAGTGGAAAAGTAATGGTGGAACAGTCAAGGTGGAACAGTGAAGTGGAACAGTAATGGTGGAACACTCACGGTGGAACAGTGAAGTGGAAGAGTAACGGTGGAATAGTCAAGGTGGAACAGTAAAGTGGAAAAGTAATGGTAGACAGTCAAGGTGGAACAGTGAAGTAGAAGAGTAACGGTGGAATAGTCAAGGACGAACAGGAAAGTGAAAAAGTAATGGTAGACAGTCAAGGCGGAACAATGAAGTGGAACAGTAATGGTGGGACACTCACGGTGGAACAGTGAAGTGGAAGAGTAACGGTGGAACGGTCAAGGTGGAACAGTGAAGTGGAACAGTCAAGGTGGAACAGTGAAGTGGAACAGTAATGGTGGAACAGTCAAGCTGGAACAGTAAAGTGGAACAGTAATGGTGGAACAGTCAACGTGGAAAAGTGAAGTGGAATAGTAACGGTGGAACAGTCAAGGTGGAACAGTAAAGTGGAACAGTTATGGTGGAACAGTCAACGTGGAAAAGTGAAGTGGAACAGTAACGGTGGAACAGTCAAGGTGGAACAGTCAAGGTAGAACAGTGAAGTGGAACAGTAACGGTGGAACAGTCAAGGTGGAACAGTGAAGTGGAACAGTAATGGTGGAACAGTCAAGGTGGAACAGTAAAGTGGAACAGTAACGGTGGAACAGTCAAGGTGGAACAGTGAAGTGGAACAGTAATGGTGGAACAGTCAAGGTGGAACAGTGAAGTGGAACAGTAATGGTGGAACAGTCAAGGTGGAACAGTGAAGTGGAACAGTAACGGTGGAACAGTCAAGGTAGAACAGTGAAGTGGAAAAGTAATGGTGGAACACTCATGGTGGAACAGAAAAGTGGAACAGTAATCGTGGCACAGTCAAGGTGGAACAGTGAAGTAGAACAGTAACAGTGGAACAGGCACGGTGGAACAGTAAAGTGGAACAGTAACGGTGGAATAGTCAAGGTGGAACAGTGAAGTGGAAAAGTAATGGTAGACTATCAAGGTGGAACAGTGAAGTGGAACAGTAATGGTGGAACACTCACGGTGGAAGAGTGAAGTGGAACAGTAACAGTGGAACAGTCAAGGTGGAACAGTAAAGTGGAAGAGTGATGGTGGAACAGTCAAGGTGGAACAATGAAGTGGAACAGTAATGGTGGAACAGTAAAGTGGAAAAGTAATGACAGACAGTCAAGGTGGAACAGTGAAGTAGAACAGTAACAGTGGAACAGACAGGGTGGAACAGTAAAGTGGAACATTAATGGTGGAACAGTCAAGGTGGAACAGTAACAGTGGAAAAGACAGGGTGGAAAAGTCAAGTGGAACAGTAATGGTGGAACAGACAAGGCGGAACAGAAAAGTGGAACAGTAATGGTGGAACAGTCATGGTGGAACAGTAAGGTGGAACAGTAATGGTGGAACATTCAAGGTGGAACAGTAAAGTAGAACAGTAATGGTGGCACAGTCAAGGTGGAACAGTAAAGTGGAACAGTAATGGTGGCACGGTCAAGGTGGAACAGTGAAGTAGAACAGTAACAGTGGAACAGACAGGGTGGAACAGTAAAGTGGAACAGTAATGGTGGAACAGTCAAGGTGGAACAGTAACAGTGGAAAAGACAGGGTGGAAAAGTCAAGTGGAACAGTAATGGTGGAACAGACAAGGCGGAACAGTAAAGTGGAACAGTAATGGTGCAACAGTCATGCTGGAACAGTAAGGTGGAACAGTAACGGTGGAACAGTCAAGGTGGAACAGTAAAGTGGAACAGTAATGGTGGAACATTCAAGGTGGAACAGTAAAGTGGAACAGTAATGGTGGAAAATTCAACGTGGAAAAATCAAGTGGAACAGTAACAGTGGAACAGAGAGGGTGGAACAGTAAAGTGGAACAGTAATGGTGGAACAGTCAAGGTGGAACAGTAACAGTGGAACAGTAATGGTGGAACAGACAAGGTGGAACAGTAAAGTGGAACAGTAATGGTGGAACAGTCAAGGTTGAACAGTGAAGTGGAACAGTAATGGTGGAACAGTGAAGTAGAACAGTAATGGTGGAACAGTCAAGGTGGAACAGTGAAGTGGAACAGTAATGGTGGAACAATCAAGGTGGAACAGTCAAGATGGAATTGTAAAGTGGAACAGCAACGGTGGAACAGTAATGGTGTGGAACAGTCAAGGTGGAAAAGTGAAGTGGAACAGTAACGGTGAAACAGTCAAGGTGGAACAGTAAAGTGGAACAGTAATGCTGGAACAGTCAAGGTAGAACAGTGAAGTGGAACAGTAACGGTGGAACAGTTAAGGTGGAACAGTGAAGTGGAACAGTGAGGGTGGAACAGTCAAGGTGGAACAGTAATGGTGGAACAGTGAAGTGGAACAGTAATGGTGGAACAGACAAGGCGGAACAGTGAAGTGGAACAGTAATGGTGGAAAAGTCAAGGTGGAACAGTAATGGTAAAAGTGGAACAGTGAAGTAGAACAGTAACAGTGGAACAGACAGGGTGGAACAGTAAAGTGGAACATTAATGGTGGAACAGTCAAGGTGGAACAGTAAAGTGGAACAGTAATGGTGGAACAGTCAAGGTGGAAAAGTTAAGTGGAACAGTAACAGTGGAATAGACAGGGTGGAACAGTAAAGTGGAACAGTAATGGTGGAACAGTCAAGGTGGAACAGTGAAGTGGAACAGTGAAGTAGAACAGTAACTGTGGAACAGACAGGGTGGAACAGTGAAGTGGAACAGTAATGGTGGAACAGACAGGGTGGAACAGTGAAGTGGAACAGTAACAGTGGAACAGTAACGGTGGAAAAGTCAAGGTGGAACAGTAAAGTGGAACAGTAATGAGGGAACAGTAATGGTGGAATAATCAAGGTGGAACAGTAAGTGGAACAGTAACGGTGGAACAGTCAAGGTGGAACAGTGAAGTGGAACAGTAACGGTGGAACAGTCAAGGTGGAACAGTAAAGTGGAACAGTAATGGTGGAACAGTCAAGGTGGAACAGTGAAGTGGAACAGTAATGGTGGAACAGTAATGAGAGAACAGCAATGGTGGAATAATCAAGGTGGAACAGTAAGTGGAACAGTAACAGTGGAACAGTAAGTGGAACAGTAATGGTGGAACACTTACGGTGGAACAGTGAAGTGGAAGAGTAACGGTGGAATAGCCAAGGTGGAATAGTAAAGTGGAACAGTAATGGTGGAACAGTCAAGGTGGAACAGTGAAGTGGAACAGTAATGGTGGAACAGTCAAGGTGGAACAGTGAAGTGGAACAGTAACGGTGGAACAGTCAAGGTGGAACAGTGAAGTGGAACAGTAACGGTGGAACAGTCAAGGTGAAACAGTGAAGTGGAACAGTAATGGTGGAACAGTCAAGGTGGAACAGTGAAGTGGAAAAGTAATGGTGGAACAGTCAAGGTGGAACAGTAAAGTGGAACAGTAATGGTGGAACAGTCAAGGTGGAACAGTCAAGGTGGAACAGTAAAGTGGAACAGTAATGGTGGAACAGTAAAGGTGGAACAGTGAAGTGGAACAGTAATGGTAGAACAGTGACATGGAACAGTAAAGTGGAACAGTCAAGGTGGAAAAGTGAAGTGGAAAAGTAATGGTGGAACAGTCAAGGTGGAACAGTAAAGTGGAACAGTAATGCTGGAACAGTCAAGGTAGAACAGTGAACTGGAACAGTAACGGTGGAACAGTGAAGTGGAACAGTGAGGGTGGAACAGTCAAGGTGGAACAGTGAAGTGGAACAGTAATGGTGGAACAATCAAGGTGGAACAGTGAAGGTGGAATTGTAAAGTGGAACAGCAATGGTGGAATAGTAATGGTGGAACAGTGAAGTGGAACAGTAATGGTGGAACATTAATGGTGGAACAGTGAAGTGGAACAGTAATGGTGGAACATTAATGGTGGAACAGTGAAGTGGAACAGTAATGGTGGAACAGTGAAGTGGAACAGTAAAGTGGAACAGTCAAGGTGGAAAAGTGAAGTGGAAAAGTAATGGTGGAACAGTCAAGGTGGAACAGTAAAGTGGAACAGTAATGCTGGAACAGTCAAGGTAGAACAGTGAAGTGGAACAGTAATGGTGGAACAGTTAAGGTGGAACAGTGAAGTGGAACAGTAATGGTGGAACAGTCAAGGTGGAACAGTGAAGTGGAACAGTAATGGTGGAACAGTCAAGGTGGAACAGTGAAGTGGAACAGTAATGGTGGAACAGTCAAGGTGGAACAGTGAAGTGGAAAAGTAATGGTGGAACAGTCAAGGTGGAACAGTAAAGTGGAACAGTAATGGTGGAACAGTCAAGGTGGAACAGTGAAGTGGAACAGTAATGGTGGAACAGTCAAGGTAGAACAGTAAAGTGGAACAGAAATGGTGGAACAGTAAAGTGGAACAGTAATGGTGGAACAGTAATGGTGGAAAACTGCTGTAAAACAGTAACAGTGGAACAGACAGGGTGGAACAGTAAACTGGAACATTAATGGTGGAACAGTCAAGGTGGAACAGTAAAGTGGAACAGTAATGGTGGCACAGTCAAGGTGGAACAGTGAAGTAGAACAGTAACAGTGGAATAGACAGGGTGGAACAGTAAAGTGGAACAGTAATGGTGGAAAAGTCAAGTGGAACAGTAACAGTGGAACAGACAGGGTGGAACATTGAAGTGGAACAGTAATGGTGGAACAGACAAGGCGGAACAGTGAAGTGGAACAGTAATGGTGGAACAGTCAAGGTGGAAGTGTAAAGTGGAACAGTAATGGTGGAACAGTAATGGTGGAACAGTGAAGTGGAACAGTAATGGTGGAACAGTAATGGTGGAACAGTGAAGTGGAACAGTAAAGTGGAACAGTAATGGTGGAACAGTAATGGTGGAACAGTGAAGTGGAACAGTAATGGTGGAACAGTCAAGGTGGAACAGTAAAGTAGAACAGTAATGGTGGAACAGTCAAGGTTGAACAGTAAAGTGGAACAGTAATGGTGGGACAGTGAAGTGGAACAGTAATGGTGGAACACTCACGGTGGAAGAGTGAAGTGGAACAGTAACAATGGAACAGTCAAGGTTGAACAGTAAAGGAGAACAGTAATGGTGGAACAGTCAAGGTGGAACAGTGAAGTGGAACAGTAACGGTGGAACAGTCAAGGTGGAACTGTGAAGTGGAACAGTAACGGTGGAACAGTCAAGGTGGAACAGTGATGTGGAACAGTAACGGTGGAACAGTCAAGGTGGAACAGTGAAGTGGAACAGTAACGGTGGAACAGTCAAGGTGGAACAGTGAAGTGGAACAGTAATGGTGGGATAGTCAAGGTGGAACAGTAAAGTGGAAAAGTAATGGTGGAACAGTGAAGTGGAACAGTTAACTGATAGAGTAATGGTTGAAGAATTAAGGTGGAATACTATATTCACGGGGAAAGTGACTGATATCGCATTTACCTTCAACTTTTGCAATAATTATTCACATCCTGTGTCCTTGTATTTTACTTCCCCACATCCCCGTCCCACACGTCATTGCATCCCATTCTTGATGTCCTCAAGTCCCTCGTCTCGCGTCCCCAATTCCCAAGTCCCCACACATGCATCCCAATGCCCCCATCCCTTTGTCCCGTCTCACTTTTATACACAACCCCCAAAAAAGAAATAAAATGACGCAAGAAAAGTGAAAGAAGAGGGGAGGAGAGAAAGTGAAAAGAAAAAGTCAAGACTGCTGTATGTGGTATGAGTGGTACTTTTAACCCAAAAACTATCTTGAAAGTTTGCTTTCTGCACATGCCCAAACATCACAAGCTAATATTTTGCATTGGGATCAGAAGGCCATGAAGTATACAAGAGTAATAGCTTTGTGATAAGTTTTAGCTCTTTATAGCCAGATAGTGACTAGAAAACCGCTCAACTTTTTAGCTTCAAAACACATTTTCAACAACATTATCAGGAGCCAATGGATTAAACTAGTTAATGTGGGATGGGAAACATGACCTTTCTTAAAAAAAGGTTTTTTCGAGCAACAGCTTTAAATCGAAATTATCTGTATTCAATGACTGCATGTACCTTGACATAATCTTGTGTTGAAAAGTTTTTAGCTGAATCCTTCAAATACAATGGATTGAACCACTCAAACAGCGAATGATACAGCCCAAATGTAATATTTGTATGACTTCTTATGGCATCAGCAAGATCACCTAAAAAAACACAAGTAGGTACCAAAATCAGCACCCTGCCAGCAAAGCCTTTTCTCTCACTTGCTTGATTTTGGCATATTCAAGAAAGACTGCAGGAATCAAGCAAGTCAGATCTTTGTTGAGCATGCACTACATGTTACTAGGATACAATTTCAAACCCAGGCCTACTAGCCGTGCACTTGATATAGCAGGCTCAGGTATGACCAAACGAATGCCCCTGCTCGAAAAACCAGTTTGACAAGAGAAAACAAGATTGACTTGTTGAAGTTCAGCCTGCGGCCTCTTCAAAGGGTTCATGCGATTCAATAAACAAGACGACAAAAGAAGGTTCTGCACCCAGGTTGCAAAATCAGCAGCCGCTAGTTGACGGGGAAAAAATTAGAGATAATAGAAAACAATTTTGAGCTGACAGCTTTTCTAATGGGCAGATAAATCAAACAGGACAAGTCTAATTCTTACAAGAAATAATCAAACATGTCATCTACAATCCATCTCTTCTTTTGATTAGTCAGTAAATTTATCATTATCATTATTACCATAATTACTTTTTCATCCTTTAGCTCGAAGAATCAATCATTAACAATACAATCAAATCAATTTTCACTGAATAAGAAAATGGATGCAAAAGGATTGACAGAGGCGGATCCAGGATTTTTTTTAGGAGGGGGTGCACTCATCTCTTTCTGTACTTCAACACCAATAAACTACATAGTTTTTTTTTTGCAGAATACCAGTTGTATTAGAAAACCGCAGGTCATCTCGGGGGGGGGGGGTGCGCACCCCCTGTACCCTCCCCCTAGATCTGCCCCTGATTGAGTAAGTGAGCAGGCCAGAAGAGTCATAGCAGTAAAACCTTCCTGCATGGGGATCTTTAGCCCTGTTTGATTAGTAACCTAATCCCTGTTCAGAAGGGTTCATGCAATATTATATGATCCTTACCCACAAGATCTCTGTGAGGTCCATTGTCAACAGAATTCCAGTTCCATGAAACATTAGATCTCCAGTTAGTCCAACCTTCATGGTGTTTACTGGTGAGAACTACATACCTAGGATTAAAACCGAGCATTACAGTACTTACACCATAAGCACCTTAATGCCTGGCCCTAACCTAACCTCTTTTGTTATACAGCAAACTCTCTCTTAACAGACATCCCTATAAGATGGACACCTCACTAAAATGGACATCTAGAGTTGGTCCCTGCCATTCATTACTAACTTCTTTTAGTTGACACCCAATATGATGGAAAACTCTCTTAGGATACTTTCCATTATTTTGTCAGAACTGACCAGCCAGACCCTTCCCATCATAATGAGAATTACACTATTAATCAAAACTATCCAGCCAGATCAGTCAAATCCTAAATAGAGTGGGCAGAAAGAAGATGGTTTTTCAGCAAAAACCCTTGAAGAAAAGCCGATTTCATTGTCAAAATGATGGGTCCGGCAATGGTCTGGTCGGCCAGTTCCAACAAATGGAAAGCGCCTTCAGACAGACACCTACAACTGTAACATTAGTCCATAAGGTGTCCATCTTAGCGAGAGTCGACTGTAACATATAAATTAAAGATTCCCCAAATAAGTGCTTGTTACGAGAGGGGAGGGGCTTATTTAGTTCGGCCAAGATAATGGTATCCATTCTCCATACAGAACAAGAATGCAAATAGGAAAAGCTCAAGTACTTGAAGCTGGAGGTCATGCAGCCCAGGATCAAAAACAAATCCAAACTTTAAGCAAATGAATAAACCATACTGGATCAGTCCATTATAGTGTTACAGTCGTCATTACTTAATAAAGTCTATCATTATTTTACAGTGAAACATGTATTAAGCGGACACCTTATTAAGCGGACATCCTCTATTAAGCGGACAGTAGTAGCCGAAGTCCCAAAATTTATTTCCCTTATTTGCTTTAAATTAAACCTTTATTAAGCGGACACCTCTGATAAGCGGACGCAGACACCTAAAAAGTACCTGAAATGGTCATTTCTATTGTTACCAACTTGTATTAAACGGACACTTGTAATCAAATGCCACCACCCAACATACCAGACAAAGGAAATGCGAAGATTACCTCGAATTACCAGCCACAAAATTAATTTTTCTATTTTTACATTAAAAAACGTGACTTGACCAACATATTTGATTAATTTCACAGTACAGTATTGTCTTCTTTTTCGTTTTGTTTGTATAGAGCTTGTTTCACTCATCTGCTTTCTTCAAATTTGAGTTGCGATCTATGGTTATGGTATTATGATCAACTGGTCCACTTTGATAACGAAATTAATGCAAACGTATATCGTCAAAATCTCTGGGAGTATTCTTAACCTTTCCACTGTTCATTTAAATGGTATTTGACACCTCATACGACGTTATCTATCGAAACCCGTATTAGGCGGACACTACAGCATTCCCCAAGGGTGTCCGCTTAATACAGGTTTCACTGTATTATCATTTTATTGTGACAAAAGGGGGAGGGGAGGGGGGCTTATTATCTTTGTTAATAGGCTTATTATTCCTGTAAAGGCTAGGGGGGCTTAATAGAGGATTTACGGTAGCCTTAAACAAATTGTTAATGCATTATTATGGGAGAAACCATGACTGATACAGTAACAGCCTATTATGAAAACTGTAACTCCAAGTAAAGTTTGTTGAGACATGGCATGAACATACCTGGCTCCAGATTGTGTTAAAAGTTTTGCCCATGCCACAGGATCAAAGAATTCTGCTTTAAACATTGGTGCAAAATCTGTATATTCAAAGGTTGGCGGATAGTTCTTCTTCATAAACTCCACATACTCGGGTCTTTGTCGCCCTTTCCAATTGTACCAGAACCATTCAGAACCAAAGCTTGGCACCGAATACACACCCCAGTGCATAAAAATACCAAACTTGGCCTCATCATACCATGGGGGGAGGGGTCGTGCATCCAAGGACTCCCAAGTAGGTTGGTATTGACTTGATACCAGGGAGGAGAGAGAGAGGAAAAATATTGCACTCAAGAGATTCATTGCAAACGTTCTGTATGTGAATTATCTGAAAAGACAGAGAGGCAAACTTAGCATAGTCTCCTTTGCAGCCGTTTTTAGGCTCGTCACACAAGTGCTCAGAAGCATTGCATGACGGGCCAAAAAATGGCTGCCAAGGAGACTAAACTTATAAGCATTGAATGGTACAAATGGAGAGCACAAGTCAAAAAGGAACCTCTGTATAGGTACTTAATTATGACTCCAGAAATTCTGGAATAAAAATTTATAAATATGGTACATACAAGTTTTCTTTTGACTGCTGTTCAACAGATGCAATCTACATTAACTTTACATTGCCTGGTACAGAACATTAAAATAAGAAGAATAATAATTATCTCTTGATGAACCCTCGGAATTCCAAAAAGCCATCCATGGTGTGGTATGAATATTTTCTGAAATCACCCATTTGCATGACTATACAAGTACATACAACGTACAGTATCGCAAAAGCTGTTTTAGGAAGAAGTCAGCAGGGGGTGCTCCCTAGACAGTGCTGCTAAACAGGGTATGGTTTTCAGGGCCTTGAGCCTTGAACAGCTTCACTAAATTACGGAATTCCAGAAAATATTCATACTGCACCACAGACGGCTTCTATACTTTAAAGGTTGGCAATGAACAGTTACCAACTCTGTACCAACAAGGTTTTCTTCGAAAAAATCTAATTCAATGATGTTAGTCCAAAAAATTACTTAATTCTGTGTGCAAGAAGAAATGAATCAGGATCATGATGGTAAGTCGTATGTCATAAACATGGTAGCAAAATGAAGGATTTTTCTCTTAAACAAGGTCAGGGTTTGATGGCCAAGGCGGCACACCTCTATCCAAAATTCCCTTCAGTACTCTCCCCCACCCCCTTCCCCTCTCCTCCCCCACCCCCAATCGATTAATGCAACGTGCAAACACTGGTTTCGATTTTCTGAATCAATACTGGGCAAATAAATTAGTCCATATATCATAACTCTCTCTATCGGTGATTGAAAGCTCTATACGTTTACAGAAGACCATGTCTGTTCAACATAGCGATGGAGAATTATGAGAGAAAAAAATTCTTAAATTGAGTGGCCAATTGCTTTTGAAAGACACGCAACTCCTTAGTTCTTTAGTTCTTTTCACTGAATTGATTACGATTCTTGGTAAAGAGAACTAGAAATACTATATGTGAAATAAACTCACGATATTGACACATCCACTTCCCAAATGAGGCTCCTCTACAAGAACATAAGTAAACAAACCCGGGCTCAAGGAAAGTTTCACAAACAAAGCTGTATTGTTGTCACGAGACTGGCGCCTGTTGAGACAGACAGTTGAGAAAGCCTAAGGCGAGGCTCGTTTCGCCTACAATACCACAGGTACCCCAAGCATGCGCGTTGTCGCGTAACATTCTAAATTTTAGGATTTGTATGGGAAAAAAAGCTACCGTTTCTGTTAGGAGAGACGTAACACACATTTTAAGTAAGGTGTGTGATCGATGGGCCGATTTATGGCCGTTTTATGGGTTGTAATGTAACTGGGTTTCCTCCCTCGGCCCACGCACCACAAAGCAGAAACGTAAGCTGTTTTTCATTGAAATCCTTTCATTTTCGTGAGTTACAGAAACAATAGGTTTTCTTTCCATACAAATCCTTATATTTCGCATGTTACGCAACAAGGTCGATTCCCATATTTCGAGCTTGGGCTACCTGTGACAATACTAGCCTGCATAACTGGCGCTTTACGAGCCAAGCGAGGTGAACGCAGCATTTCGAAGCGCGAGAAGAATATGAGTTGCGAATCGAGGGGAGAAGAAAAAATAAAGCTTTATTTTTTTCTCCTCCTCTCATCTCGCGCCTCGCGCAAAATGCTGCGTTCGCCTCGTTTGGCTCATAAAGCGCCTGTTATGCGCATGTGCATGCAGGCTACTACAATACCGACTTGAACGATCAGCACCGCGGTGCTTATCGAATTCTGGGGTGTTTCTTGGTGATGCAGAAACAATTGTAAGTTCACTTTGGTTATCCCACCCTTTCGCATTACAAGAAGAAACTACTAATTTTCTGACTAGTTGATGCGGCCTTTTTTCGTGTAGCCTGCGTCCCTGGCGGTGGAGCACACGCCGCTCATTAGCCCGCGTCTGCTCCAGGCGCGTTACAGTAAAAACCCACGAGTAAGAACCTAAGATTTAAGAACCTGTTAGGCTAAAATTTGCAATTTAGATCCCCTCTATATAAGAACCTCTTTAGCCTAAAATTTGGAGAAAGGTTCTTATTTCCAAAAATCATTTAAAAATATTTACTAATTGCAATTGCAAAAGGCAAGTTAGTACATAATTATATAAATGTTGTTTGATTGAGTTAATTGAGAAAATGTTTATAATATTGTGTTTTACAACACAATCATGTATATAAAGTTGTTTTGACTCAAGAAATTAAAATTCATGTGAGAATAGATCTCTATCATGGTCATACTAAAATATAAGCAATCGTTACATATGCAAATTTAAGGGTGCTGATCACTAAAATCTTCTTAGCAACGACATACTTTTTTGCAAGAAATTAAGAACCTATTAAGAACCTAGATAGCCTAAATTTATGTTAACCACCATTTATGTAAGAACCTGTTTAGGCTAACCCTGGAAAATGTAGGTTCTTACTCGTGAGTTTTTACTGTATCGCAACTCTCAGTTTCTCTAGATACTCATCGCATTACGTCACGTCAATTTCTTTAGAATCTAAGATTCTTTTCGGGCTCTTGTGAGTCCCGGTAAAGTTTTCTTTTCTTTTTTTTTTTATCAAAGAAATATATTTTCCTCTCCCGTCTGGCCCCTACCCCTCCCATTTTACTACTCTCGTTAGGATAAAATTTAAATGGAAAATCCTGATTTTTTAACCACCACCTTTGAAAAAGCAAATTGCCTCGAATTATCGAGAGGTTTGAAAAATCGGGGCCCGGATCCGTGTAACGGGGGTCTAAGTGGCAGTCTGTTTTAATTCTGGCCTTCGAAAGCCAAGGACATAAAATTACCGTTTAAATATAGTGATGGAGTAATTTTGAAGAAAACTGAACCATTTTCCGAGGTTTTTCTTTTTAGGGTTTAAAAGTAATTCCGCAACATCAAACTTATCTCCTTTAAGAAGGCAGCCATATTAAACGGTTCCGGGAAAAGATATCGTATTTATTGGACGCCGCGACGTTTATTAATTTTAAGCGTTTCCGTTTATTCAAGGGCGGCGTTTCATTATTTGGCGGTGGCGTTTAATCAAGTACATACGGTAATGGGGTTAGAGGTGGCTGAGGTCCATCGTGCTTTTCTTTTTTAGGTACGTTCCACTCTGATCACCTCAAACTTTATTTAAGATGTCTAAGAAGGCGTTCCTTGTCGCTGAACCTGTCTAAACCTGCAATTTGCAGCCGTAAAATCAGAAACTGAAGTACCTTTAGCAGAGCACATCGATCTCGAGCCCACTCACCACTTTTTGCGGATGACAAGCTAGTCACTAACATCACTTCAAAGGTCAAAGACAACGCGCGTGCAAAAAATGCTATACCCTACGCTCTTCTAGATAGCACCTCATACGCTTTTGGACTTGTTTTATGAGTTTGCCATTTATTACTTTCTGCAAGATCCTTTTAAGAGACAACCCAAACAAGATGTCTTACATGAAGAGTTCTTCTGTCCAGTAGTCTTTCCTTCTACACCTTAAATTTAACGCATTCATATCTTGGCGAGAGCTAGCCTTTGCCAGCCTCTCAAACAGTAGGGACGTCGCGAAAACGGAACAAGGCAAGCAAAAAGAAAATAGACGAGCACGATCTGGGGAGGAGAGTGGTGGCGGAAAAAAAAATCCACCGCCCTCTCTATCCCCAACCCCCCAGGCTTTTTCGCAACTTTTTTTTTTGCTGAACCAGAGAACAAGTGCACTATTATCTTGGAGCCTGGAACTGGTTAGGCGAGAGGATGCCATAACAAACTAAGTTTCGTACAGATAGTTCTGTAAATGCTCATTACGACTCATTCCATTCGTACTATCTTTGAAAAAGAAAAACTGTGGGACTTAAATATCCACAAAGACACAGTTCACATCTAAAATATTTCCCCTACAGCCAGCTAAAAGGAAGGACGAAGGCGGAAGGCCGAGGGCCGCGACTTCTATCTTTAGGGTTAGATCGTTACGCCACCATCTTCACCACAGCCTGTATCATCTTGCCGATACCGTCGTGTACTTCATGTACGTTTGTCTCACACATGAACGCTGGAGTTGTTACAACCTTGTTCTGCTCGTCTACATGGATTTCGTGAAAACAGTTAAGGAAATTACACCGTCTACAGAACAGCAAGTAATTTTAATCTGAAGAAACGTTAACTTGAAAGAGGAATATAATCCTTAAACCCCTCCATAAAGGGGACCAAGGAATTGATTATTAAATGTTATTAGACTAATAAATATCAAACTATTTTAATAATTCAAAAGTTATCATTAATTTTATTTTGCGTTAATTAGTACTTATCTATTTCTTTCATTTATTCTTATCAATAGACCATTTTGATTATCATTAATTTAATAACCGGACGCTCATACTCAACCTACTCGTGAAATGACTCCTGGGTTCAAACCTTTCACAGTTTTACTATTAATTATTAGTTTTAATTATCATTATTATTTTATATTAAATTATCATTAAATATTAAAAGGATAATAATATGAAAGGATATATTAACATCTTTGTTCACGTGTTTAGCTCCCATCTGCTCCACAGCACCTGCTGTACCGGCGTACGGCCATTGGACATCTTCTTTATCTTGGCCAACTGTTATCTCAACACCTGGTAAAATCTAAAACGAAATAGATCCGGACAAAATTTCCGCCAATATTTCAAGTTTGGTGCGACAGCTCTTTGACAAAAGCAATGTTTCACTGCAGTTGAACTGAAATGTATGAAACTGGATCGTCAGCTACTCTTCCGAGGATTCTGCTCCAAACTGACGGTTTTGAGTGCTTCAGGTTGCCATTTTTAGCGGGATTGAGTATATAATAAGATATGTTGCAGTTAATTTTTGTTTTTCCATTGAGTATATAATAAGATATGTTGCAGTTAATTTTTGTTTTTCCTTTGTGTTTGGGTATGGTAATGTAAGCTAAGGAATTTGGAACGATGGAAACACAAAAATTAACTAAAATAAAAAATTACTGCACTACAACATATACAAGTAAAATCAAATGTCTGAAACATATGGTACTAACCTTGGCTGCTAATACTGGAGCAATACAGCAAAGGCTGAGTGTATAAAGACAAACACGAAGAATAAGTCAAAGTTGTAGGTTAGCCTGGCTTAAGTAACTACCTTCTTGGTACTTTTGATTACCCGCGAATGGTAGTCAAATTCACGATTTTGGCGAGACGGTATTTCGCGGGGTTTTATTTTCACAATTTCATAAGTAACTTGAAAAAAGGCGTTAAATTTTGCGATTCACCTGTTCTCAACTTCATTTTATTTTTCAAAAAGTCTGAACTCTTTAAATTTCTGAAATTTCTAGATAAGGATTTGTACGAATCTTGCGACTCACATCAAGATTATGACAGTTAGATTCCCTACTCCACATGTGACATAATTAACGTTTTATCACAACAGAAGATACAAAATGGAACTTACCAGTAAAATAAGTTAATAACTTGGGTATTTGTCGATACATATTCTGCATAATGTGGTTGTTACTACACGTTAATCATTTTTTCTGTGACTTAAATTGTCCATGGATATTAAATTTCGCAAGGATTCTTATTCGCGGGTTGTTATTTTCGCGACGCAGTTTTCTACCATCGCGAAAACACACATGGAAAAAAACACTGCCAGGTTTTACCTACCCAATTGGTTTTTTGGCAGCATGAAAAGTTTTAATAGCTTGCTCGACATCTTTGTTAACTGTACAATTTACACCATCCACAGCAAATGAACTCCTAAAAAATTCAGAAAGGTTTTGTCATGGAAGAAACTACAGTACGGTGAAAGCTTTGCCACCAGACACTCTCGTAAGCGGGACAGATCCACCCAACGACCGCCGTCACAAAACCCCGTTTTTCTCATCTCCCATACAAACTCTGTATTTTTACATTCCCGTAAGCGGCCAGCTCTAGCTACGGACACCTTTTTCACGTCCTGAGAATGTCCGCTCACGAGAGCTTCCACTATGTATTGTGCTCTATGTATTAATGGAGAGTTACTTTCTTCAACAAAGAACTGCGTACAGCAGTTTACACCAGGTACACAGAATTACGGGCAGATATCCTATCTGCAAGCAGGTTAATTTAATGGCTGATGATTCACTGATTGACATACTTTGTCTTGTATACGATAACATTACATGATAAGCCTTTGATGAAATACCGAAATTCTTGGCAATAAATATACTATCCTCTAGGTCAATGTTCAAAACTTTTTAGTGAAATCACTTATTGTCATTCAAACAGGCCATTTTACAGGTGTGCGCTCAGTGCCCTGGCCTTTGAATAGAAGCGAGGATGGCGGTGACCTTGTTTTGTTACAAACCGTTCACAGGCTTGTTAGCATGAGAATACCATGATTTGCACAGCCTCGCTTCTATTCAAAGGCCAGGGCACTGAGCACACAACTATAAAATGGTCTGTTGAGTTTTGAACATTATATTTGACAAAATTTCTCTGACCCACGAGAGTATATATTAGAGTACTGGAGTATATTATGAGGAATTGTGTTCAATTGATTTTTAGAGGGGCTACGTCACTCTATTTGCTGTCTTATTAAATAGCTAAAACGTGTCTTCGCATCAATATTGCACTACAATTTTTTATATTTAGGCATTAGAACTGTTTCCTGTCGTCTGTTGCTAACAATTGGACCAACCTTTTAAGTTTTAATGCTTATGTCTACAAAAATCACCAAAAAATTGTTATGGTTAGTGTTCCTTGCTGAAATTTGTTTGATATTTTCTTATAACCGTAAAGGAGTATGTTGTGGTAAGTAATAATTTCAGCACAGAATTGGCTTAACTCAGAGTGATCAGCATCAAATTTCTCTTTAGAATATCAGTGCTTTGTAAAACAGAGAGGTCATGAGAATTATGGACACGATCAAACGAGATGAAGTGGCTTGATATTTTATCAACTTCTCCCCACTACTTCTATAGGAAATGAATAGGAGCAACAAATGAGAATTCCAATTTTGATCTTACGATGAATGAAGGAGTCTCATAAACTATGGTTCTAACATTGAATCTGTGGCCAAATCCTGTGGTGTGACCATCCAAAATGAAACCTCTAGGGCAGTACTTTCACATGGTATCATGTGATGATGATGATGATAAAGTTGTTCTAACATCTGAGTCTGTGCACAAAATCCTGTGGTGTGACCATTCAAATGAAACCTCTTTGCCAGTACTTTCGCATGGCGCTATTTGTTTTGCAACATTTTACAAAAATAAAATTGGCAATTTTGTCGAAATTTGACTTTGCCCACTTTTGGCAGTGAAAGGGTTAAAACAGCAATATCCTAGTGATGTAGCCTCTTTAACTGTCACTCACAAATTCTTTGCCGCTCCAAAACCTCCAGGAAAAACAAGGGCATCATGATGTGTTGCATCAAGCTCAGCCAGAGAAGAGATCTTCCCACGTGCAATTCGAGCAGACTCGGCCAAAACATTCCTGACAGGAAATTAATGTGACATTGAGTATAAAAATTCTATACTGTGTTAAATAACAATTAATAGAGTTCATGTGATTTCAAAAAAAAAATTGTAAGAGATATACCAGAAGTAAAGGACTATCATGTGGCACAAAATTTTTTGTGAGAGTTTACTTTTGTGGATATTGGCATTTTTTGTTTTTGTTTCGAGGGATCTAATCTCTGCGATTAGGACAGATTGGTCTTTTTTGCTGGGAATTAATTTTTGCAATTTCCAGAAAGTCTTGGCCAAACAAATCATTGATAATACTTTCATTTTTATTGAGTTCGTGCAATAGAAATAATATTTTCAAGTAATAATATGGTGTGTATTCCCAATATATTACCAGTAAAACAGATAACTTTTCTCTGTCATTCGATTACAAACCCGAACAGACCAGATTTCTTAGCAATGCATTATTACAGACATAACTAATCGATGATCAATGACATCAATTGGTAATCAATGAGTAATCGATGAGTAAACAGTTGATTAGTCATTGATTATGGGCGATGATCAATGAGTAATCGATGAGTAATCAAAGCCCAAAAATTTTGTGACCTATCGATTACTCATCGATGACATCGATTACTCATTGATGTAATTGATTACTCATCGATGACCCATCGATTACTCATCGACTATTATACTGCGCACGAAAGACACTTTTCTTGCTTTAGGTACAGCAGAACTTAGTTAAGAAGCACTGCACCTTTTGCGACTGACCAAAATCCACATCGCGTAGTTTGCTGCCCACGTTTTGGAAAGATCCCAGGGTAGAGGATCCGAAATTCTCAACAAACCTAAGACCTTTGAACAATTGTCGGAGGAGGGAAGAGAGCCCTACCGAAGGATAAAGAACTCGCTACAGCAAGAAGATCTCATAGGGGATCTGAGAGGAAAGATTCAAGGTACATGAATCACTTTTGAATACGTGTAATTTACTCAATTCGCAAGAACCATTTCCGTTGCAAAGTCCATGTGCCTTGTGTACTACGCTGACACCGTTCCTGGAATGTTTATGGTTTTCATCAGTGCTCCGTCGCTTTACATATCAAATTCACTTTGTTTTTGTTTTACAGGAAAAAGGAAACGAGCTTCTTCATTAACCGCAAATAAAAGGACGAAGTTTTCGCATTTGCAGAAAATGGCCCTTGAGGCCTTGTACAAAGACAGCAAGTATTCATCGCACGGAGTTATTGAAGAATTTGCAAAACTGAACAACCTTGACGGGGCAACCGTCAAGGTATGGTTCAACAACAAACGGCAAAGAGATACTGGAGAACCTTCTGAACCTTAATTTCCATGTACTATTTAAGCTCAAAAGAATAAACCTGCATGATACACCTGTTTACATTTAAGTTTTTTTTTAATTTTGTTTTTCTTCGCCAAATACGTTTGCAGCCACGAGATGATATCCATGAGTAATGGATGAAATCAATGACTAAACAATGCAATCAATGACTAATCAATGCAATCAATGACTAATTGATGACCAAAAATTTTGTGGCCTATCGATTAGTCATCGATTACTCATTGATCATCGGCAATAATCAATGACTAATCAACTGATTACCTATCGATTACCTATTGATTACTCATTGACTTCATTGATGTCATTGATTAGTCATGTCTGGATTACTGTGTGGTGAATTCAAGATGGAGAATATTTACTATGGAATAAACTTTTGCGGGAAAAATGTTTGCACTAACATTTTTGGCTGGAACTTATTTTTGTGGATGGCTAGAACTATCGCAAAATTCGCAGACATTATAAGTCACAAAAATTTCGTGCACACGGTTATCTAAATTGTGTAATCCGAACCCCTTATATCCCCCTCCGCGACCACTTACCGAAAAATTATCCATTTCAAAACACTACCAGGAGCCCATAACCAGGAGCGAGCAACTTCCATGCGTTCGTGTCACAGTGTGTTCACGTACCAGTTTATTTTTGGAACGGTTTTGACACGAATTTTGAAATCTTTTAAATTCTACAAAACAGTGAGCAAACCCTACAGACCCAAAAATGATATTTTTTTGCCCTATAATAACCTTTAGTTTTCCTTTTTGATATCTTATTCTTCGAATGCACTCATAGACATGGTGGTGATTCTATTTTTGCGGGAAAAAGTGCCCTAAAATGTGTCTAAAAATAAACTAGTCCATAAAAACGCCGTGACATAGGCCAAGTATGGGAGTTGCTCGCTCCAGGTTATGGGCTCCTGACACTACCCTAATCAGGTGATATCTTACCGTGTCTCACCCTCAGCAACGTCTCCTTTAGCATGATTCAGAACATGCATCTGTGGAATATCTGGCGCATAAATACTCACATCGGCTCCAGCACGACTCAAATGTACCAGTACCCTAAAAAAACATACACAATTATTAAAGCGAGACATTCTGTGACTTTATTTTTATAATAACTACTAGGCTATACGTTATGGCTCACTAGTAGCGAAAAGCGCTGGCTTTTTGGCAGCAAAAAAGGATTTAAGTGTAGCTGTAACTAGCTAAAGTTGTTTTGTCTCGATATTTTTGACCAACTAGTTGGATTTTATTTTACTCGTGGCCTCTGAGTCAATAGCCCATTCGATCTTCGGCCTCATGGCCTATTGACTCAGAATTCAGTCTTTTTGCTTTTTCAAAACAATGAAATTCTGGATTTTGTTTTTACAAACATTGGAATTCTGGATTTTGGCTTTTCTTAACATTGGTATTCTTGATTTTTGCTTTTTCAAACATCGGAATTCTTGAGTTTGGCTTTTCAAACACTGGAACTCTGGATTTTACCTTTTCTAAAGATTGGAATTCTGGATTTTGGCTTTTCCAGACATTGGAATTCTCGAGTTTGGCTTTTCCAAACACTGTAACTCTGGATTTTGGCTTTTCCAAACATTGGAATTCTGTTTTTTTGATTTTCCCAACATTGGAAATTTCAAGTTTTGCTTTTCCAAACACTGGAACTTTGGATTTTAGCTTTTCCACACATCAGAATAATTTCTGGATTTTGACTTTCCAAACATTGGAATTCAGAATTTTGGCTTTTCCAAACATTGGAATTCTCAATTGTGGCTTTTCCAAAGAGTGAAATTCAGTGTTTTGGCTTTTCCAAACATTAGAATTATGGATTTCGGTTTTTCCAAACATTTGAATTCTGGATATACACTGCAGAGACTGAAACAGGTCTCTACGAGCAGATAATAGTAGAGAAGAGAATAATAGTGTACTGTAAAAAGTCTTTTTATCCAAAGAAAGTACTGTCAATTTTTAAGCCTTGCATTGGTCATTTTCATTTGCAATATTTTTGGCAATTTCAATATACCACTGCATGGTTAAAGCTAAATAATTAGAGCAGCATGCAATTCAAAGGAGGTGGTGTCTAATACCTGTCACTGGCAAGCGAATTCTGTTCTTAACTGGCCTGATGGGCAAGTTAAGTTTTTTGAGATATTCAAATTAAAGAAGAATAGTAATCAATGCTCATTAAAATTTTATCACGCTCATTTAAAATAGACTTTTGGGTCAGCCATGAATAAAAAAGAATGAGCAAAATTTAATACCGAACGATATACTCTAAAATAAATAAAAATTTAAGAGTGTCCATCAATTGCAGATATGATACCTACCACTAATGGGAAATAGTCATTACCATCAATGTGCCTGTACTTACGCTGAAGCTTCATGAACCTCTGAACCATCAAAAACACCATTTCCAGATAACACCTAAATGCAAAAAGTTTAAGTTTGGTTGACTAGGTCATTCCATATCATGAATATTTCAGCCACACCAACCCCCCCACCTTACCCTACAATGTGTGGGGTAAGGTGTGATAGGTAACCTCGCCATCATCCTCTCAACCCCCCTATTTCCAAATAATGTTGTTCAGAGCAAGCTGTTTTCATTTTAAATTAATTTACGCACTTTTTAGCGTGCAAAAACATCCGTTTCTCCTCGCTCTTCGCCGCCGGGGACGTTTCGCGAGGAGGAACATCTGCGACTCAGCGGCAGAAATTCCATACTGATGACGCAAACCGATGTTTACATAATAAATCCAGTAGTCATGGGGTTCCAAATACAAATTTGTCCAATTTTACGTGTCTTCTGGTCGATTTTGGTAAAGTGTTGTGTTCATCTGCCAACGAGCTCCAGCAAAACTCAAATGCTTCTTCAAGAGAAGACAATATTCCAAAAATATTGACTGTTTTATTAGAGATTCTTCGCGTTTACATTTCTCCTTTGTGGCCTTTTGTCTTTTGTCTGTCATTCGTAAACAATAACTAAAACAATGTAACTACTCCGTCGACCAATCAGTGCTTCTGACCGGATTCCGGACAGATGTTACGTCATTAGTATGGAATTTCTGTCGCTGAGTCGCAGACGTTCCTCCGCGCGAAACGTCCCCATCGGCGAAGAGATAGGAGAAACGAATGTTTTCGCACGGCAGGCTACGCACTTTTCAGAAAGGGGACCCTTGATATATCTTAAAACTTGGAAACCACAAAATCATAGAAACCAAGGCAGGAATGAAAAAAGGCATGGGGGTTCAGATATACTTTCAGGGTTGCAGTAAATGCACCTGCGTCTGAAGTATTTTTCCCTCGCATCTGGAAGGTAAGTTTTCAGTGGAAAACAGGGAGATCTCATCTGAAACATTACAGAGGGTTCTTGTGTTTCCAAAACTGTTGTACCTACCACAGCCACTGAAGTGTGTGATGAAGAACCTAAGCTGAGCGTCCGGACTTTCTGGAAGACGCTACGTCTGGCGAAATGACGCACGGCAGTGCTGAATGTAGCCATCTTGTTCAAAAACTCCCAGGCGTTCATTCCTCAATTGATAACTGCAATAGTTCAGCCGCTATGATTGGTCAATTATTGTTCAACCAATAAAAACATGTGTTAGAAACAGGGGTTAGTTTCGAGCCTGCAATCTTCAGCAGTATTTTACAAAAAGTAAAATGGCGACTTGGAAGAGTCTTTCAGATATTCTTGGTTTACCTCGTTTTCTTCTTCTTTCACACGCCTTTACTAGTACCAGAAATAGCTTTTTATCACCTTTAGGCTGCCTTTCATCAGTCTATTGTCGTAGTTTTCACATGTCTGCACCAGGTGAGTTATTAGAATTGTCAAGTCTTTCGCTCTAGTCGTGAAGGTAGCGGCCGATCGAAAAGTCTGTCTTATTAGATATTATTTTAATAGCACCTGAATTCCCCGAGTTCCGCAATGTTGACAAAATGTGTCTTGATATTATTTCGTAGTGGACGGCAAATATCATCACATCGCCAAAAAGAGAAAGCTCCGGAAGCGGAGAATGGCTCAATTGCGTTCCAGATTCGAGGTAATGACAAAGCTGTTGTCAGCCAGCCAACAACACTGGACCACTTTATACATAAAGACTTTAAAGCATCGATTACGAGCACGTATGCATGTTTATTCACGTAGATGCTCTATGTCGAATATCATACCATAATGTTATCTGTAAAATTTGAAAATCAAAGAACTGTAAAATTAATTGTAATCAATATATATACTATTAACTCACCCTTAGAAAAGTTCTTGATAAGTGTACTGTCTTGCAAGTGTTATTGATTGTTTATATTTTTTCATATTTAAGAGACTGGATGAAGAAGACAGACCAACTGGATGTTTGCTCTGTCCCAAGAGAACTGATGTAGAAATCAACTATAAAGTATGTTGTTAAATCAACCATACTAACAGGAATAACATATTAACTATACTAACAGGAACGCCACTGAATCATGGTCAACAGTAACCGGCACAGTACAAATGACTTATTGATGGAATTAAGCAAAACTAACTACGAGAGAACGACAGGACAACTGAAAATTTGACTAACAATAAATCACTGTTTAACTGTGACAATAGACAGGTCAAAACGCACCAATGATATTTCGAGTCTGCATAGCCTATAACACGGTTTAACTGACAGACGACCAATAACATCATGACTTAACTGACCAATCAGGTCAACAACCAGAGTTAAATACCATCAACTGGCTTGGTACAAATCACTTTGACTGTGAAGATGACTACCGCACAGGTTGTCGAAATGTCAGTCCCTGTCAACAATGACAGTCCTATTCAGGACTACGTTTACCCAGACAATCATACTCAACCTACTTACGAAATGACTCCTGGGTTCAAACCTTTCACAGGAATAAAGATGTTGATTGGCCATAAAAGTAAAGCTTAAATTCAAACTTTTAAACCATATTATATGGTTTAAAAGTTATAATAATATTATTACAACATTTGTCTGTCCAAAGAAATGGCCTCAATCTCTTCTGTATCATTTTACTCTCAATATTTTAAATAATTTGAAATGAAAAGATGTTGAGACCATTATTTGTCGTGAGATGCAGGATTTTTCAATATTGTTTTTCCACAAGTAGCTCCCAATGGTGGGATTGTTACATGTAGCTGTTGGATTCGTGAGACGTTGAAACTGTTGACACTCTACTTCTCACATATCTTAACAGTAACACGATGCTACAAACTTACTGTAAAATGTTAAGAGAATGTCAAAGCTTTTTGATCGGGGCCAATTTACCTTCTAAGTCCTTCAATGTGCCACTGAATCTCAACAACAGCCCTTAACTATTAGGAGATAAGGACGTAAGCTTGTGTAAGTCTGGTTTTCTCATTCTAGGTTCTGTGAATGGTCTCAAGGAAATTCCACCTTTAGATATGTGTAATACTGGGTTAATAAATTGTGAAAAGAAACTGTTCTTTAGGTCAAGAGTACAGGTTCATGTTAACTTTACATGACCTACACCCTTATCAGTTTTAAAGATTATTGTTTGTTAGGGAAAGGTCTATGGTTAAGTTGTTGCTTACAGACAGTACATGGAGGTAATGTTATACTTTTAATACTGGTAATTTTAAATTTATACAGTGAAACCTCAATATAACGAGCCTCTATACACTAAAGTCCTTGATATAACAATTTATTTTCTTTACCCCAGTAATAGTCAGGGTTTCCATGCACCTTGAAAGTCCTTGAAATTTAAAATGAAAATTCAAGGCCTTGAAAGTCCTTGAAAATTGCAGTCGGTGCTGGAAAGTCGTTGAATTTCGGTGCTTACTTTATCCAACCCAGATCCTGACGTGCCTAATATGAAAGACCACCTTCAGCATAAAATTGCTCATGTTGTGGTTAAGAGCTAAAAAAGACATAGACTGACGGGCCTTTTTTGCACAGAATGGAGTCCTTGAAAAATGGGAAATGTGTCTTTGAAAAGTCCTTGAATTTTTGGTTCAAAAAGGGTATGAACCCTGAATAGTAAAATTTATGGAAAAGACCTCAATATATCGATATGTCATTTTTGCCAGTCCCTTGGCACTTCCTAATATTCAGGTTCCACTGTATATGATAAATTTTTAACTGAAAGAAGTGATTTTTTTTTTTAAATCAATCCTTTCTTGCAGAATGTTCGATTGTTATCCCAGTTTGTTTCACCACACACTGGAAGAATGTATGGACGAACTTTAACAGGTTAGAGCAGTTGTTCTTAACTTTAAAATTAACATTTTAAAACTTTCCCTTTTAGTTATTGACAAAATCAGCCCCAGTCATTTGGTAACTGCTGAGTTGTTTTGCAGGTTTATGTGATAAAAAACAGACAGAAATATCAAGAGCCATCAGGAGAGCAAGAGCTATAGGTATCGAAAATACTTTCTTCCATTTTTATTATTTTTATGAAGTCTATTTTATTTTATTTTATGGCAGTACCTGGGATTGCATCTTTAAAATCCTTAATTTTTAGTGATCATCATGATTTTATTGTTGTTTTATGCATTTCCTTCAGGTTTCATGCCTGTAACAATGAAGTACGTGGCTTTTCATAATGATCCCAAGTTATTCTAGCAGCTTTTTCAGATGTTCCAGTCAACTGCCTTTGTTTCTATATTAATTTCTGAGTAATCAAATTTGTAAATAAAAGTACTGTCACTGTATTATTGAGTCTGCTGTTATACTTACATCATACCCATTTTAGTATTAAATGTGAAAATATCAGTTGTATACTTATTAATGCAAAAGCATCAAGAGATCATTAAAGCTGAAACTACAGGTGAAACCTCCTTCCGTCACCACCCAAAATCCCGGCATCTGGGGTCACTTATGGGCAGGGTCACTTACAAGAATTGGACCACAGACGTTGTAACCAGAAGAGGTCTGACACAACAATTTGTTGCATGTGATAGTAGCAATACATGCGAGACGTTCCTCTTGGCCACTGACAGTGCTGTAAAAAAATGTTTGGGTTTGTGAATTATTCTTATCTAAAAGACAGTGCATTTACAGCAGTTAGAAGCTATGGAAAGTTTTAAACTAGGTGTATGAAAGGGGTACTATTTGTCAATAGAACGTATACAACAGGGGTACCCTTTCCATCAAAAATGGTATATAAAAGGGTGAGGGGTTGGACCTTGGGGCGGAGCCTACCTGTATAAGGCTTTGTTTAGTATTTCCCTCGAGGTTGAGCCACATATTTGTTAAACAGCTTACCACTGACAAAAAATTGATCATAATCATGGCTCACTATAGACTGCAGATTGCCATGTTTTGATTGAAATGATAAGCACAATTAAAATGGCAGGCACCTGGTTTTGATGAATCTTTGTCTTTCCTTTCAACATCTCAAAGAAAACAAGTTTACCATCACTCTTAGTTGAAAACTGTTTTTGTTGCATATTTATTGATAACAATAATGTCTATTACTGTACTGAATTATTTCAAGTATCCTATTATAAAAATCAGATCTGACAATTTTACATTATTTAATAATATTTTGGAAGATCAACAACTGTACAGCTTGTAAAAATTACAAAAAGAAGATATTAATGTACCAAGGATCTTGATAACCTCAACTTCTGCATTAAAAACCTGCGAGGCTGATGTTTGAAAGTAATATTATTTTAAAAAGCTCTAACAGTCAACTAACAGATTGGTGTTTTGTCATGATAGCCTTCAGTCCTCTTTTACTCCTTTGCATGTTTTCCTCACTGCCCATAGTTCTCGGTTAACATCTGGTGAGCTGGCCAACATCCCGCCAACAAAAGATCAACTAGAAAACTGGCGATGACGATTCCATAGTTAAATTCTTAGAAAATGTTTCTTCATAATTTGGTCCACTTCCTTTTACATTATCATCCAAGGAGTATGTTTGTGTCTCGTCGTCTGTTATATCATCATCAGCATCCGGAGTTGCGAGACTGACGACCCTAGCTGGTGTCTTTTGTTTCCTCCTGCTTAGGTTCCTGGTTTCAATGTTTATCTGCACATTTGATTTTTCATCTGGAATGTCACTTTGGTTATTTGTTTCCATTATTTCATTATCATCAAATGAAATCAAGTCTTCTTTTCTATTACTTTCAGCAGATATCCCTGATCCGCCTTTGTTTACAGTGTTAAAGTCATTTTCAATGTCCTGGTTTGATTGGGTTGGGACAGGGTGTGATTGGACTGGTTTCCTGTTGTCAACTTCACAAGACTCTATATTAAGCATTGAAAGAAAACCAAACCCATGAGTTACCCAATACAATGGAATCTTTGTTTTTCAAACCCTCAGGGGAAATGGGAATTGGTTTGAATAATTATTGGGAGTTCAAAAAATGGAAGATGGAAGAATCACACTTGTTGTACCATGGTATTGTTTAAAAGGAACAAAGATTGCCAACGACAACAACCGTATTATAACTGCACTCTTGCATGTCAATGTATGTTCTATCTTACTATAATATACTCAGTCTGGTATAGATTTAGTCAAGACCAAAAACAAACTCTCATGGGATCTTTTGAAAAATGTCTTTCTGAGGTAATTCAGTTTTTGCCATAAGCAAGAAACAAACCACGTGACAGCATGTGACACTGGTCAGCCGATTCCCTACTTTGAAAGCTGTCAATAGGCCTTTTCCAATAGTAAACATGAAAAAAGTTCGCTTTTTAGAAGGAACTGAAAGAGCATATGAAAATTAATTGACCTGTGAATTTTCAGCTGTGTATCTCAAAAGAAGCGATTGCAATGGCCACCAGACTCAGACTTTCTTTTAGTACCTATTTCTTTAAAATTTATTTACTCAACTAGTAAAACATTACCCACCACTCTTACTGGCTAGTTCTAGTCGACATCTTTCTACTTCCTTTTTTCTGGATTCCACATCCTCTGTTAATGACGATACACTTGTTTCACTCATTTTTACTAATTCAACCAGATCCTAAAGAAGTATAATGGAAATTAGCCACAAATAAAACTTATAAGAATGCAAAAACATCACATAAAGTTGACATATTTCCTCATAAGAAAATGCAAAAAACAGTCTGCACTTGTCTAAGCAACTCATATCATTTTCTAGCTTCTTAAAGGAACTATTGAAACATATAATAATAGTGGTTTATTCAATATAATGCACGAGGTGGCTCGTCCTCTATTTAAACTATCTAAACTATCTAGCAAAGAAAAAGGGGAGAAAAAAAATTACAGATACATTAAATTCAAAGTAGCCAGACTGCAAATTATATTAGTTGCTAAACAATATATATCTACGTGTCGCAACTGTTCATCAGTAGGATGCCTAAAATGCATGCAATTCCACAATTGGTTTTGGCTCCATTAAATCCATTAAAAGCAGGTTAGAAGATCAAAAATTAAAATAATTATATATATACAGATTACAGGTGTGAATAAAAATCAGTTGTCACTGTAAGGCTTCTTTAAAATGTCTCTGATGGCTGAGCAGAATAAATAACATTATTATTATTTACATTGTCAGGTATATTATTAAAAAGTTCTGAAGAAACGTCTTGAAAAGTTCAACTCTCCTGTCTGAGGTCTAACCAGGTTTACAGTAGAACTAGAGTGCAAGGTTCTTGTTGGTTTGTGTATATTTTCCAGCTAAGCATACTCTGGCCATTGCTGTCAGAGAGTAAATGGCTTGGTGAGTGGCTTTTAAAGCCTGGTTTTCAACGTCTAGTGCATAAGCATAAGTGTGTTTTTAACATGCAACATGTTACTGCCCTTTAATTTGGCACTCTTATTCACACGATCAAAACAGGGTTGCATAATAAGAAGATAACACTAAAATTCGTGAAGATGCTAATTAGGTGGTGCTTCCTTTGACCTTACCTGTAGCTTTCTCATCATCGTTATGTACATGCCATGCATATTGGTGGACTGAAGTAAACATCCTTTGTCATCAACAAAATCATTCCTGCAAATGCACCAACCAGTTATTTGAAAATCTTAATTTCTTGTGCGAAGTTTTAATATAAGTTTGTCAGACTTCACAATCAGTGAATGTGGAATCTCAAGTTGCATTTATATTGCGCTGTATAATCTGGTTGGTGTCCATGGTTGCCTAGCAACAAGCAAAACCAAATGCTAGAATTTCAGAAGCTTTGGTTCACAATCATAATAAAAGCCAGCCCAGTAAACAACATGATTTTCTCAGGCACATAGTGACTAGAAAACATTCAATTTCTAGTGGTAAACAAATTAACGACAATACATGTGCATTCAAAACTCCTCAGTGAGAAGAATTTTGTTGCCTTATGGCATAATTATGCCATTAGCATTTCATATAATAATTAACTTCCACTCCCTGGTTCAATTGTCATTGCTTTTCCCCTTTTGTTTTAAAACAAGTATGTGTAAGTCTTAACTGGTGGCTGCAGTGGTTCCTTAATATTTATTATTGTAAGCAATGTTTATGAAATTACCTGTAAGAGTCAACTACTTCATAAAATAGGTTAGATGTGGCCTGGGCAGACAAGCTGTTTAGCCTGTATTCAGAATGTGAAGTGTCTCCAAGATTAAGTATCTGCACATGAACTGGCTCAAACAGTCTGGAAGCAAAATATTTTGCGATACAATAAAAACAATACTGATAACAACAATACCTTTGGTACTAACATATATATTGTTATAGTTAATTTTTTATCTGAGGTAATTTTTATTTTTCTTTTGTTTCAACTTCATTAGCATACATTTCCATAGTTTTTTTACTTAACCCTTTCAATGCCAGAGTGGTTGATAGAGTTTTGTAGGGTGACTCTAACTTTTGAGTCTGTGGACAAAATCCTATGACAACATTGTGACCATTCAAATCAAAGCTCTCTGCCTGCCTGTACTTTCACATGATACTATTTATTTCTCAAAATGTTAGGGAATGAAATTTGGAAATTTGGTCGAAATTTGCCTTTGGCCACGTTTGGCAAGGAAAGGGTTAAAAACAACAGAAAAACAAAAATTACCTGAGATAAAAAATTAACTATAACACAATTACATGCACATGTTATTGAGCTGACTGGTCTGGGTCCATTTCATTATTTCCTTCACATTATCATCTCCTTTCATTCACAGTCAACAATGAAAGCAACATGAAAGTCAGAAAACGCCAATGATTTTACAAGCAAAACAACAGCTCTATATAATTATGCATCAATGTCCACTGTACAACTACTACGTAAAACTTCCTAATGTGACATTTTTTATTACATACATGTATAAGAGGTGAGGAGAACACAACAACAAAAAAAATAATAAGATCAGTGTACTTTAATGTATCTACATGTATGTAAAATTGGATACACTCCTTAAGATTTCAACACCAAGAAAATTTACCTACACTTAAATTGAGCAAGGTAATAAACAAATTCAAGTTTGGAAAACCAGAATCAAATTATTGACAAAAATGACATGTTAACTGCCACACATGTAGTTGTTGTGATTGCATGAGCTTCCTAACCAATACAGTTGTAGCCCTACACTGCCTGATCCAGACCTTGAGATAAGGGGGGGGGACTCCCCTGGATCCACCACTGCCCTATGTGGTTCAAGTACTACTGAAACTGGGTTCAGGCTTGGCTTGTAGGCCTCTAAGTTCATATCAGTGGACTTTTATTAGTCAATATGTAAACACATTTATTTATCACATATAAATATATATAATAAATCAGATATTTTTTTCTTAAATTAATTTGATTATCAAAAAAAATTGTTAAGAAACAAAATGCTGGATTCATTATCACTATGAGTAGCCTATTTTCCTGTGATTACTAGATCCCGATGAAAGAAGAATGGGGAAAAGGCAACAAAACCAAAGCCCTTGCGGAGGATGGGTCTCCTGGCTAAAGGGGTCAAGGATGACTGAACCCCCCACCCCCCTCCCCCTGCCTCTCTTAGTCCAAAGCCTTATGCTATTGAGCTTCCTCTGACATACCCTCCTCTGTGTGAAGAACAACAAAAGCTGTAGTCCAACTTGTGAGTTGACATGTCTCTGCTCATGGACGCTGTAAACACTGCCATGATGAACTCTTTAATAAAGAGAAAGCAAAATCATTTGGTGTGGTTCGAGAAAATAATGTCAGAGCTTTACACTGTAGCTTGCTATCAGAATTTTTTCTGATTTGACAGTCTTCTAATTACAGCTGTTGTAGGTCAAAATCAAATTTGGTTTAAAATGGTTTCGACCTAGCTTGATTCTCAATTTCTATAGGATGACAATGTAGTTTTGTAGTTTTGTAGGTTTAGGATTTTGTTGTTATTTTTATCATGTAAAGCGCTTTTGGACCACTGGGAATTTTTATAGAATGACAATGTAGTTTTGTAGGTTTAGGATTTTGTTGTTATTTTTATTATGTAAAGCGCTTTTGGACCATTGGGAATTAGCACTCTATAAATACTGTATATTATTATTATTATTATTATTATTATTATTATTATTATTATTATTATTTCCCTATGTCTCTTAGCAATAAATATTCGTGATCATGAAAAATTAGGTTTAGGAAACAAAGGAAATGTAGAAACTTAGTGGAAAACCATTTTAACCTGAAATTCATTTGACCAACAGCATAGCCATGTTTACGGGAATATGACTTATGTTAAGAAATCTTGGCCCTTTGCTATAATCTCGTCACAATCGGGTAAAATATTATGGGATATGTTCACTGCACAATGTCCTTGCAAGGTGAAGGTGGCCAGGTTTGAAAGAGACAAGTCCCTAAAGCAATATCACACTGATTACGTGCCCGACAAAAAGCCATTTTTCAGTGAATAGTCATGCCCTTATCAAATTGGATGTTGGACATATAAACTGTTGTACTATAATTTTATTGATCATGAGACATAAGCAAAAAATATGAACACTAAACCCACAAATCAGAAAATTCATGTAAAGTTTAGCGCAAAGTTGATTTGCATCTATATGTACCTTTTGCTGGTGTGAAATTAAACTTCTCGATTAGATTATGATGGATAAATCTTTCCCTCATGGATACTAGAGATTGTGTGTTCCGGCGAAATTTAAACCAACCGATAACTTTCTACAACAAAACCAGAGATAATAAATGATCAACAAAATAAAAATTAAATACATAAAAACAAGTATTATAAACATATTTGGACAAAAATCCCACTCTCATAATTAAGCAGAGAATTGCCTATATTTTCAGTTATCTAAGATTATCAGGAGTACCATCAACACAGACCAATTTCGTGTGTTCACATTGAAGACATGGGTATAAGTCAAGGCTTAAAAAAAAACTTGTCTATCAATTGCTCCAAGCTTTAACACACATCGGTTGCCCAAAGGTGTTACATGCTTATCTTAGTTTACTTTACTAAGTAAAGTTGACCTGACTGGCTGGGCTCTAGCTTATCAGGCATATGCATGAAACATTACTTGTCCTGCAAGAAATCTAATTGTCCTGGATGACTGGACAGGATATTTCTCCTGTTTGGTTTTGTGTAAGCTAAGAGACACCAACCATTACATGTATCGTTTCAAATCAATGTAACAGAGTACAGATCCTTCAATCAATGAATGCTGAATGTTAAACTGGGTAAAATCAGAGTAAAACTGATATGCACATCTACTGCCTGTGAGTATCAGCCTCATATAATGCAACCTATTTACATACTGTAATATGTCTTCAGACTTTTTATTGTATAATATTTCATATCATTTCTATATGAAGGACTTTCAACACCATCTTTTTCTGACAATTTGTTTGAGTTTATAGCAATCCAAGCAATATTGTGATCATGAAGTGTAACACTTGTTGAAAGACTCTTTATTTAATAAAGCCAGACTTGAGCAGTTCTGTTTCATATTATGCAACTGGCCCAACAGCTGACCAATAAAATATTCATACATGTATGATCTACACCAGTAGTAATCTATATATTTCTTACTTGAACAGTTTTTCCATTGTCATTATTAAGCTCCTCTGAAACAGTATCATCAACTATTTGACCAACACCAGTGTAAAACCTGCCAGCAAAAATGACAATATCTTATAATGAAACAAAACATGTACAATAACAAAATGTGTTCAAAATAAGTTGAAACCTTACTTCCGAATTTATTTTGTACTTGAGATACTAAGTCCTGGTTCAGACACCATACTTTTCATGTGCCAAACCTAACTGGTTAAGTTCGACTTTGGAGCGACACTGGTGCGACATCTGATTCAAAAAGTGCAACGTGTGTCGAGCAAAAGTTAAGTTCGACAAAAGTTCAACCAATCTGTCGAGCTTAACACTTTCGCTGCACCAACCTAAAACTGCCATACCAAATTGATTCAGACCAAGGTTTTAGCCAGAAATGCATCCAGCCGTCCTATGGATGCCCATTTTAGGAAGAAATATAAGGAAAATTCACGTAATCTCTTGTTGTTTTATAGGAAAACATGCCTTCTGCAAGGCCAGTTTTCAATGTCTGGCTAAAAGCCTGATTCACACACCACTCTTTTACCCTACTTAATTCATCAGTTAGGTTTAGCACATGAGTGGAGAGGCATCTTCAAGCCAGGTTTTATATTATTATTAAATTAATTCCATTCAAGACTTCCAAACTTTAAAACAAACAACAAAGTGTTTCACATCCACTTCCCTGTGCAAAGTTAGTTATCTTAGCAGGCAGGATAGGCCTTGTCATTTTTTGCTGTGCGACCCTACCCACTTAGGATTTTCCATGTTGGTCTAATGCAAAAAAGGTCTCTTTAAAATAATATAAAATCCTTTATGACCAAGCGTGTTTTTACCTTTTTCTTTTAGTTACAATTATTGTGAATAAGGAATTACATGATATATGCCTTTTTTCTGGTGATACTTTAGTAATAAAGGTTGCATTGGCATTAAATTGCTTACAGCTGACCTAAACCAGGAACAACATTGATTTTATTACAAAACATAACAGGTCACTTTTGAGAACCTAAAATAAACAGAAACTGTTTTAGTCACAGAATAAAATGGAATTAACCTTTCTATACAGCAAAGCCATTATCACTTCAACTCCAACTCAAGTATTGGATCCAAAATTTTGCACTGCAGCCTATATACTCAATATTTTGCACCCTAGCCCTTGAGTTGTCGTGTGCATGTACATGTATCATGTATCAGCATGTGTGTTTTATATTAAAAGCTAACAATTTTATTCAGCATCCTATAGAAGCTGCAGCAAGTGCAGGAAATTTCATTGCCCTTTAGTCAACACAGAAACACCAGCTACACAGAGAAACCGATTGTTTCGGTGGGATAATAAATCCATCATAATTAATTTTATTTGTTTCTCTTGTTCAATAAAAAGAAAACATAAATTATGACCTCACGTGTAGAATTCCTTTTCCCAGATGCTCAAATTCCACTTTTGATGCAATTTTCCGAGGTCCCAATACTAAAGAATGATTTTTTTTCTGGGCGGGTGGGGGTTGGCGGCCTTTATTATTGATTGCAACATTTCTGTATCTAACCATTAATGCTCCCTCTTTTGGCCAAGTATGGATTAAAATGATGCAGTAAGTAGCAGTAACAGTAGTACATCCACAAAGTGGTTCCTTGTTTTCCATTGTTCCTAACTGAGTTGAAATTTGGAAACTTTGGTTTTGCACATGAGATGGAGATGAAAACCAAAGGATCCTGATAAAACCACTCAGAACTCATGGGACAAGAACCAATGAAAAGCTCAACCCACATATAACATTAGGGACCATAAGTATCCAGGGATGGCAGGGGAGACATGGCAGAAAAAGCAAAGATTATTCCTTTTCTCTTCATTGAAATTGTGCATGTTCCAACCCACTTTGCCAAATTTCTTACAAAATATCCAAATTCACAGAAAGAAAAAAAATTTCTCTGTTGTTTGTACATGTCCTTCAAAAAACGTAAAAATGAATTAGGTATTTTCACAACCAAGTCATGCAGTGGATGTAAAGAAATGTACGAAAGATTACAATGCACTTGCAGAGTTGTCATTTTGCTGACTGTTTTTTAAGTTCTTGTGGCCGACACCATCATCGGATCTCAATTAAATAAGCCCCCCCCCCCCCTTTTAAATAAGCCCCACCCTCACTCAAATGGTCTTGAAATAAATAAGACCGGGGGGGCTCAATAGAGGATTAGAATAGATAATACATATTTTGAAAGTGCTTTCTAGGCTTTGTGGCTATGTATCTAAGCGTAAATTAACTTTAGGCGACATAACCTAAGGCAAGATGACTTTCGCGCGAGCGATTTGACCAGTTAGCTTTTGAGTCTGCAATGATTGGCAATTAACTCGCCATTAATTCATAGCTTTATTTGCTTCGCTCGCTTTATTTGTTATACCTCTCTGACCAAATAAACAGACCTATACGAAATCTGCATCGACGCTTCGTCGCCTCCTGTCTGATTTACTACGTTGAATCAATTGTCACTTCCGGATGTTAAAGCTAATTATAAACGAAACTTACCGATGGACTTTACCAAAAGGCACAAATCCTTGGATAGCTGGAAAGAAGACAATTGAAAGTGATAGTTAAAAAGAGTAAAATTCCCAATGATATCGATCAAACAACAACGTGAGCCAAAAAACACTAACTTGCCACTCGTTCATGTCTCAAGTTTTCTGATTGTGAATCTGTGACGGTGTTGACAATTCGGCTGTTGATTTCTCCTAATAAAAGTCCTTCCTAAAACAAAGTTATCGAATAAACTTAGATGCAATACATTATACTTGTAAACAAGCCAATAATAATCCACTCACAACGTCGCCTCGACTGTTCTCCAGTTCGTAAACCAGCGAAGAGAATACACAACCTGAGATGCAGACCTCCATATTTGATTTTGACGAGCCGCTGCCTGTACATTCCTGTCGCGGGCTCAGAATTATCAAACACTTCCACAGACCAACCAGCATTTGATACCGTCCAACCCTGACCCCCCTACTACTGACATTTACTACTGACATTTCTACTAGTGGGGCTTCCACATTATGATTTTGTCCTACATAGTGCCCCCGTAGAGGGGGAGCGGGGTGGAACTCCGGAATTCGAGTGATGGGTATGATGGAAGGACTTTTAGGGTTTGAAATTTTCGTTTCGTAGTAAGAAAATTTGGCAAGTATTTTTTTTGGTGGTTTGATTTAAGTAGGGACCCTTTTGGGTATTCAAAAGGTTCCTGGTAGTGCCCGCCTGCGTATCCAAGCAGCGTAATCTTGCGAATAAAGTACAACCAAACTTGTTTTGTGGCTGCTTTAATATTTAACACGTTACATTCCATCTAAGGCGCGCAAATTTGGAATGGCATTTTTTGGGCTTTAATTTTTTTCCAGGGATTTTTTTGGGTTTTGATTTTTGCCCCCATTCGATCATCACCGACAATTCGGAGTACCCCCCCCGTCCCTCTTGGTCATGGTTCCCATGATGCAGGTCATAAACAAAATGCGCCGCGAGCTCTAACAGCTCGAGCAGTTTGATAACCTTTCATTCGAGATGGAGAACGTATAAGACGTATAAAACTCTGTTATTGAAGCATAAAATCCAATTTTCCGTGTGGATAGAACCCCAGGAGGAGGAACATACCTGTTTAAGTATTTGTGGGAGTACCCCAACTCCCACCACATGAGTTATTATTTGCATTATTAACCTATGCTTCCTTCCTCCTTAACACTAAAATTAAGTTGTTTCATAGGAACAACTAAAAAAATAGCTCAACATTACCATGCCATGACTGGCAAATTTATTTAAGTGTTGGCCACATAAGTTAACTAATTTCATAGACCTCAGATATATTGTAACTTCTGACTGATATCTCAATTTCACAATATACATAAACATCTTGTAATGATAACAAATATTTCTGTGTTTTAAGCTTAAGACTAATACATCAACTTTTTTTCGTGATATCCATTAAGGAATAAAAATTATCTCTTGACAAAAGATGATACGCCTTTTTCCTTTCTACATACAATATTAGGAAAGTTTCTGGGCAATAAACTTTACAATAAATATTTAAATTAAATGACAATATTTTGTCAAAAATTCTTTTCTTTTTCTTTTATGCGGTTCAAAAAGCAATTTTTCACAGGTCCATGTGAATGCGCTTATGGCGATTAAGATTCCCTGACTGGGAAAACCTCTGAAAACAGATATCGCATTGGTATGGCTTTTCTCCAGTATGCGTGCGCATGTGTTTGGTAAGAGTACTGCTATCCGCGAAGGCCTTGGTACAAATGTGGCATCGATAAGGTCGTTCCCCATTATGTGTGCGCATGTGCGTAGTGACAGATGAAGACTGGGAGAACTGGCGGTTACAAATGTGGCATTTAAAGGGCTTTTCGCCGGAGTGAATGCGAAAATGCGCAGTGAGATTGGCAGCTTGCGAGAAGGATTTCAAGCAAACCAAACACTGATATGGTTTCTCGCCGCTGTGAGTGCGTAGATGAAGCCTCAGAGTGGACATCCTGGCGTACGACTTTCCACAGACGGGACACTTTTTAGGGCCGTCATCCGAAGCAAAGTGCTCTCTGGGCGTATTTCTATTGGCTACGACAACTGCTGGGTTTACTAACTTGTGCATGTAAGGTGGCATTGACTGTAGAAATGGTACTCCGTTACCATAAAGCACCGGGGGTGGAGGACCATAAGCCGGGACGTTGCTGTGTGGTGATCCTGTCAAGTACGGGGAAGAGAGAGGCCTGGGAGGAAATATGCCGTGAGCGGGGCTGAAGTGGAGAAAGCCTGGGGGCAAGTGATGAACAGGATGAAAAGCAGATGGGTGAAACAATGGTCTCTCCATAACGTCAGGATGTACCATAGGAAAACTGAAAATAAGGAAAGAGAATTTAGTCACTGTGTTTTACGAAATCATAAAGACATGTATGTTGATTCTACTATGATACAGTCAAACCTCTTTAATACGGACACTGAGGGGGGTATAGAAAGTGTCAGTGTTAACGGGCTGCCCTTATTAATGGGGTTGAATTTGGAGAAAATGTAAGGGCTTTCTTTCCTCGGGGACAAAGCAGACTGTCCGTAGTAACGGGGTGTCCGCATTAAGCGGGATTTGAGTGTAGTTGAGACTAAGAAAAGCTCCTCACCATCAGATCACTAAGCGTTTCTGGGAAACTGCCCACCTACCCCTCCCCTTAGCCAACATTTTGCCCTAAGTGAGAAGTAAGTAGTTGGTGTTGGCTTAGGGAAGGGGTGTTGAAGAAACTATTCAATTAGCAAAATTAACGCTGAAAAATTCAGTTGACTCAATCTGAAAATTATCAGTTTTCCGAGATCCAATGGTTTAAGGGCGACTATCTAACTATACTATAAAATGGGAGTTTTCTTTACTCTTGGTTTCTTCTCTGTTTGCCATGATTTGTGTTTTTGGCATGTCTATTTTTAGAATAACTGGCTGGGAGATGATCCCTCCCTTTGGATAACATCAGTATCAAAGGATAAGAGTAAGCACCCAAATACATTGACCATATCGATCGAGGATTGGAAAGTCACAAAATATCGTTTCCATGGATTAAGTCTACCTCACAAGGCTAGTTGGACGGAATTTCAGAAGGATTAATGATCTGAATAGTTCTTTATTTCTCTTCATTTACTTCATTCTAAAGATTACCGTCTCGGCTATGAAAGTTTATTCACAACTTCTAGGACCAATACTCTTTCTTTGGAGTTAAATCGAACAGTTTGATTATCTCTGATGTGCTTAGCCTTCATGTAATGGAATGAACCGATTATGTGGAGAATCTATTAAAACTCCGTTTTGTCAGTTTATAAATTAAATCATAAACAAACAAATAAGATTAAGCGTTTTTAACTAATGACATGTAAGGTTCAAATGCGCTAGTTTTTTGCTTTTCTTTCTGTTTGTTTTTAGTTCTGTATTTTCCGCTTTTTTAAATCCATTTCTGTTATTTATTTGTTTATAAAATTTATTATTTTTTGTTTGAGTGTTTATTTTCTTTTCATCTCAAGATTGAATAAATTAATAAAAAGAGGCATGAAAGCGATTCATGCTGGAAAGCTAAAACTTCTGACATTTCATTCTCAGAAAATTAAAGAACGAGTGGAACTGAAGAAGACGTTTGGAAACGAAACATAGGAACTCCACTACTTTCCTCTGTTGAATCCGGGAAACACCTAAACATATTTTTGGACCTTCGAAAGAGACCGTCATGAAAGCTTTATGACGAAAAAATTTTCAATCGAACTCCTCTTTCCTACGAAGTTTTTTTACTAAAGTAATTGATCCATTACTGAATCTGAGATGGAAAATTACTCACCTGGAGCGTGGCTCGGTGGTAGCTCCTTGCTGTACCATAGGAGCGAGCGTAAGGTGATGTGCTGTGTCAGGTTTGTTCGACTCTAAACTCTGTTCGTAGCTTGTAGACAATGTACGTTTAGAAAAAGTAGTTTGTTCGCCACTTTTAGAATCCATGTTCCTTCCTCCTGGTTTAGGAAAAAAGGGAAAAAGTTAAGATCAGCCGTTCGGAATCATAAACAACTCAACATCCTTCAGGCAGTTTCTCTTCTAGTACTAAGGACCGTTTTGAAGACATGATGCTGTTTTAAATTTCTTTAACAGTATTCCGCTCAGTGCAATGTCATCGTTTACCAGAGAAGGAAACTAACGAAAGTGCCTCAGCTGATAAACTCTTCTGACTTCATGACATAAAACGTCCAAAAAGGCAAAGGAAAAATGCTGGTTTGGGAGGATCAGAAATCTGTGCGGATTTATGATTCGATTTGGCTTAGGAACAATATATCTTCATAAATTTGAGACAAAAATTTATTCCAACCGTTCTTTTCTAGCACTCAGATGCGTGGAAATCCCATCATCAGAGGACAACAGCAATGCGTAATTTTAATTTTTTTTTTTTAACCAAACAACTTACCGGAATCGTGTGGCAGAAGTTCCAGTTGTGTTTTCTTCCGAAGGAATAGTTCACGAGAAGTCTGCTCGGATGAAGTATAACAGCCTGAGATCTGAACTCTTGAGATAACTTAAGTACCAACACTGTCCGACAGCAGTGACGTGAGTAATCGAGTTGTTTTTCGCACTGGAATATATAGTGAGACCAACACGAGCGGTTTGCTATTGTAATTAAGAGTATTTAACACCTCCTTTCATAACAAATATACCGCATGTCATTACGGCAGTTAGCACCACTTACCGGGTAATTAGCATGTAACAAATTCCGACCCTCTTCAATTCAAAACTAATTGCGGGTCAATTTATTGCAATGAAAGTGTTTCCGTGGACAAAAAAAGCCACAGTTCGGGCCATGAGGTAGGACAGGGATTTATAGCCCCGCCTTTTTTTCTAGTAGAAAGTCTGAAATACGTACTTCAAATCTTTTGTTAACTTCTCTTTCAAGTTGTTTTTTCTTAAAAAGAAAACACACCGGTGCGAGATTGTATGCTAATCTCTGGTCCAACAGCTCTGTTTATTTCAATCTTTGTGAAGTGACTGTTATTTAGAACAATGCACTAGACCTGATATTTCGTTGTCTGGCCTCGTTTAACAACGCTTTTCAAATCAAGGGGTAATTAGACTATTACAAATAGTCGCAATAAAGGATGCGACATGGCGTGGCAAAGACTGCTCTATGCCGAATACGAGATTTATTAACCTGAAGTAGAATCCCGGTTGCTAACCGTAAAATTCGCTCATTTGCGATTTCTGTCCCCCAACAGTGAAGAAGCAAACCTGCTGTAATTAATATAACTGTTCCGAATTGTACCGAAGATGACAACGTCGTTAGAATTTGAACAAAAGATTCAGATTCGAACATGCTCAACAAGATCAAACTGGGCGTGAATGCAACCAAAAACATACAGGATTTT